CAGACATGGCTTCATTTTTGTCTAATCTGACTCTTATAAAGATAAAGCATGGTAGAAGGAGTCAGGTACTTTCTGGATCAATAAAATGAGATGACCATTTTTCCAGCATCTTTAGCAATGGATTGTATCTATGAATATGACTTGCAGTCTGGAGTGAACTCAATAGACATTAAAAAAAATAAAACCTCATTGAGAGTGCAACCATTTATCATGAGTGGAGAACAATCAGCATTTGATTGATGATGATGAAACATTACAATGTTTCAGTAACTAATCACTGAAAATTATTACACAACTCAACTAGTAAATAAAATAGAGCTGTTCATATGAGCAACTTTGTACTGGCTATTTGCAGCTCTTCACTGTTGACTGGTTTTGTTACACAAGCAATTGTGAAAAAGTGAAAATTACATAAAATATTTAGGTATTGTATTGGTAAGAGGTCACATCTAAAATGCAATGAATTAATTGCAGCAATGCATTTCATCTTAAGTTAATTAAAGTTATTTAGCTGTAAAAATTTTCATAATAAAGAATAAAACTCATAATAAACATCACCTAAAATATCTCTCATTTGATAATTCTTCTTGATTGAAAACTATATACATAAAAAATAATGTCTATACAGTTTATTACATTTTCGCTTTTGAATTGTTCATACATTTATTCAGTTAGAGCATTTTGTGCAACTGTGATCACCTCTCCCACTATTTCTGTTGTAATTGTGGTTCATGGTGACATTCAAGGCAAAATAGTGTAATGGCATGCCAGCTCCTTTTGCACTGAGAATTTTGAAGTTATGTAGTTACTCCTGGCAAAGGTTCCTCCACCCATTAAAGCTGTTAATTTCAGATGTACCACTCCAACACCCAGGCTGGCAACTGGCCGATGGCTGCTTGGCATTCCCTTTCTTTGGTCGGGAAATCCTTCTGACTACCTTCACACAGTTTAGCTGGCAAGTCAATGTCATTGTGAGGTGTGTGCCCGTCAGAGTGTCCATGTGACACCTTGGAAACATTTATTGATAGGAATATTAGTATATAGAGATTTAATACTTAAAATATCCATAACCTTTTTGTCATGTACCTTTGTTTTTATTTAATAAGTCATCAAAATTCTTTAGATGTGTTGAACTGATAGTACAAGGCTTATAACTTTTGCGAGAGTGGAAAGTGCCAGGTCTTAGTAATATTTACCGGAAACTTTGGAATAAATTGAACTGAATCAAAGAAATAAACAAACAATATATATTTATTTGACTTTGATTGGAATAAGTCCTTCATGAATCAAGTCAGCGAAAGTTCATCTGGCTAGGTAGTAGTCGTCATCTTGTTGGCGGATGCCAGCTGTGTGGTTACTTTGGAAACATGAGCAGCATCAATCTGCTGTGAATTCTTGGGTCTCATAAAAGGCAAAAAATGTCTTAAACAAATGATCGCTTAGTTCTTCACACTCAGGCCAGTTTCTGGCTGTCTCCTTCACTGTTGTCTGTCAGCTCTCTCTTTTCACACAGTTTTGAAAGGCTCCAGACTACTTGACATGAAACTTGGTTTCGGTTAATAGCAAAAATCTCTTTGTTCATTTGATTGGCCAAAATTCTTTTATTTATTTTCTAGCATTTCTGACATTTTTTTTTTAAGCGGAAGTTTTGTGGAATTCTTTGTTATGTTGGTGGATTTCTAGTCACAGTAACTAAACCCTGAACTAGCAAACTTCTATTTCACAGCAGTTGTTCAATCTTTTCTTCTTCTTCCTCTGTTTGTGAGAGAGAGAGAGAGAAAGAGAGAGAGAGAGAGAAATATGGGTTTTTAAGGAAAGCAAATGCTTTCTTTTAATTTGAATTTTTAAAAATATTTTATTTTAACATTTGTGCTCTAATAATTTTGTGCGCATTCCACAGAATATTGTTCATATTAGAATGTTAATTCTATGTATTTTTAGTAGACCATCTAATGTGGATATAGAGATGTGATGTTCAATGTAGGATGATCCACTTTTATTTTTGTAATTATTTTTGTAATTATTTTGTAAATCTTACAATATCATTCTTTACAGTTATTAAGGCTTGTTTTTACTCATAGGTTTTATTATCTACTAGTAACATTGCTATTTTTTGTGATATATCTCTGTGTTTATAATTACTATACTGCCATCTTTGTCAAGTGGTAAGATGATCATCGTCATATTTTTGTTAATTTATTTAGAACATTTATTTACATTTTTGTTAGAGCAGTTTCATTGTTTTGTTTTGTTTTGGTCAAATATAGTAGATTATGCCTTGTATGAATTCTTTAATGAAATCAATCATTGTTTTTTAATCATATGGATCATATCAATTCATATCAATCATTTTATCATATATATGATGGTTTTATACTCAATTTTGAGCATGAAAACTTAAATTAATTATTGCTTGACTCATTCATAAGCTCTTGTAGGAAATTCACTCATCACTTTTTTATATTAAAAATCTGAATGTCTGAATTCCAAACAATAATGAAATAAAATTAAAGAAAACATTGATATGCCTGTTAAATAAATCATTTATATTTACAAACATATGTACATGAATTCAAAGGAGTTAAAAAGTAAAATAGTCTCTAGTTGAGTTAAAGTCTTTGGGTAGTTGGTCCATAGAAAAAAACTATAGTTTAGAAAAAACTTTTAAATAGTCCAAAAAAATAGCTGTGGTTGAAAAAGGACTTTTATTGTTGTTAGCAAAAATTTACTGACCATCTTTGTTATTGTTGTTGGAGATGATTTGTTTGAAGTCATTGACACATGTTTCTTTTAGTATGCACTAAGGAAAAGACAAAAGCTATATAGACACATTTTCATTTGGCTTGAAGACAGTTGCGTCTCTGTACTTTGAAAGGGTCTGAGGGTTTTTATAAGTATTTTTCCCAAAAGACTTGAAAAAAATTAAAGTTTTAGAGATCCCGGATTGGTCAAATATTTCACATGGTGATGTTAATTTCTGACCAATAGACAATTTGATTTAAATGGCATGTGTTGTATTGTGGAATCTTTTTGTTATGTTAGTAATATTGTCTGTTATTGGGTAGAAAATGAATTTTGGATGTGTTTTAATATGGTATGCATATGAGTATCTAATTGTGTTGGAAATAGGGTTTATTCCCCATGCTCTCAAATAGCTTCCTAGACCTGCATTCGTTTTAGCAACAAATTGGTAAAAGGTACTTACAGGTTCAGTGTTATCTTGGAATACAGTTTGCCATAGACAGTTTTTGCCCGAAAAAAAGAAAATGATTTTTCAAGACAACATTTAATTTGGCATTAAATGCACATAAAGAAAATGTTAGTTTTAGCTGCAGGTTAATTTCAAGCAGTCTTATTTAACCATTTTGGCTATGGTTCTTTATATGGTTAACAAGAATTGCTATGGAGAGAAGAATCTAATTACATACTGGACAGATGTGTCTTGGAGAAAATTCTGAGTCAGAAATATTCCTCATGTTTTAAAGAGACCTGAAAATTTTCAATTCTCTTGTGAATAAGATGCTATCATTCTGATCTGTTTGAAACTAAGTAATTGAAATCTGACAAATACACTTCTGATAACTACATTTTATATTTTATGCAGTCCTTATATAACTTGGCTTGGCGATTATTACATGGATGTTTACCAGAAACCAGCTCTCAATAGAAGATTTTCTTTGGTCATCTACTGTCATCCATTTGTGCCATGTACCTAGCCATGTCCTGGGTATGACACTAAACTATGTTCAGCAGCAGGGCATCTTATCGGGAGGTTTTGAAGAGCATGGAACCACATTTTAAATCCTGTTGTTCCCAGGTCTACCTTAACCCAAAGTGGTAACACCAACTATGGGCAAACTGGGGTCAAGCACTATGAAAATATGAAAATACATTTTTATAGTAAAAGAATTACCAGCAATACATTAAAAAAAAAAAAAAGAAAGAAAAATATATTACCAGCAATGCATTGTTAAAAAAAAATTACCAGCAATACATTTTTGTAAAATTACTAATGCTTCCAAGAAAATTAAATTTCGGCTTTAAATGACCCATAAGGAGTTGATATGCCGCTAAAAACAAAGTGTAATAATTGATAACAAAGTGTAATTGCTTTTTCATTGCTATATATTATTTATCTGACATGATTTTCATGTCTTTTTATCATGTCTCTGAGAGTGTGCAAATATATCAGAGCGGATAATCTTTTCAACCATTATTCGATTATGTATACTACACTACAGTGACACACACACTTGTACCTATATGTGTAGTGTACACTGTCATGCATATTTTTTGGAAGGAAACTCCAATAGATACTAGTAAAAAAAAATATTTGGTAGTCTTGATAGGTCTAAATTTAATTCCCTGAAAAATTGTTTTTTACTTTTAAGATTTTTATATTTATTTAAATTTCAACAAAATGTTGTAACGGTAGTATTGTTTTTGAGTCAATGAATGCAGTGCAAACTGTTTCAACGGCTAATTCTCAATTTTATGTGTGTGTGTGTATGTATATACATTTCATTTAAAAGTAAAACATGTCTCGGTAATTAATTAGTAAGTAGTGTAATTAACTGTGTACTAATGTAATACATCATGCTTATGAACACACATACGTATGTACGTACGTGTGTATGTATATGTGTGTGTATGCCTGCATGTGTATGTATATATATGTGTGTGTGTGAGAGAGAGAGAGTACTCAGTATTGTTTAAATAAGTTTTCTTTATCAAACGGGTTCAGTAGCCAATCCGTGTTTTATAAGCCACCAGTGGCCTGATGAAACGTAACAAGTCATGTGATTCTGACGTCGGTTTTCATGTTTTCTTCACTTGTTCAATGTCTTTTCTCGCTGATGGATAATTCGTTCAAATAATCTCTTCTTGTCTATATTGACACGACTAAATGACATAATATTGGAAAAGAAGAAAAAAAAAAAAGGACTTTTATTTATTGACACCAAACAACTCGAAGATAATTTGAAGCAAACGTTTCCGTCATGAATTTTCGACGGAGAAGTCTGTGTTTATTACCAACTCAAAGAAAAACTCTTCTCTTTTTATTCGCTCTTTTGGCAATTGTTAAGGTAAAAATATATATATATATATATATTTATTTTTAATTATTTTATTAGTGTTGTTAACTTTACTTTTGAATTGTAATCCACTGCATGTGATTTTAAAAAAAAGAAATGTGGGTTTTCTGTTAAGTTTTAAAAAGTCGGTTAATTTTTTTAATTAGTTTCGTCGAATTGTACAAAGTACAGTGAGACTAGAGAGAGACTTATTTTAATTTTATTTTAGTTAGTAAATGTATTTTTCTTTTCCTGTAAAATGTGCTGGGAAAGAAGTGATTTTTTTCTTTTTTAAGAAAAATAACTTTCAGAAATTCTCGAAAAAAGTTTGAAATCCAAGATTTACACTAAAAAGGCTGACATTTCATTTCATATTTCATTGTTCACTATTCATAAATGCCTAAAAATCCGTTGTTTTTCTCTTTACTCCATAAAAAAAAAAGTAACTTTATTTTCTTTATCAAAGATTCATTTTCGATAAAGAAACCGAAACAACCATGGGACTATATTGTAATTTACTTTTGTACTTTAATTTCTCCAAACTAAAGCCGAACTCCTCGACAAAACTAAAAACAACCGTGAATTGTTTTTTAAACTTTACTTTACTGATTTCTTACCTTGACTTTACCTTTTAGTTTAATTAATGAATTACAAACGAATATTATCACAAAATCTGGCCATAAATCTTTCAACTGTATTCAATTCACTTTTCTCACAGAAAAAAAAAATTATCACGTTTGGTTTAAGGTTTAATTAAAAGTTCTTGCTATATAAAATAATAAATATCTTTTTTTAGTTTACAGTGGGACTCTGATTTCACCTTTTTTTTTTCTTTTTCTATTTTTTTTCTTTAATAGAAAAAGGTGTTAAAAGTAAAATATAGAAATTTAAGTAATTCTTCTTGACTGTTCCCCCAGTTTGTGACCACCACGGTCGGGTCTTATCACCTCATCAACACGCTCCACCCACAACAACAGGCCAGATAATATTGATTATTTTCTTTATAAACAAATGAGTTCAGCTTGAACATGCGATTTTAGACTTAAGTAGGTAAATCTCTAATCTATAACTATCTTTGTTATTACGTAATTTTATTTACGTAAAAAAGAAAGTAGGAAACATTTTTCTGTAGAATACTGCCGAAAATACCGGTCGCTTCGTCTGATGAATTCTATGGAAGCCCTTACTGATCAAATAATTGATTTGATTTGCATTTGTTACCTTTTTATTAAAAGATACTTCTAAAATACGCAAAATCATCGAGTTATATAACTTTTTTTTATTATTGTAAAGATAAGCTATACTAATCGTAATTTGATGAGCATATTTATTTTACGATTTTTTTTTTTTTTTTTTTTTTTTTTCAATTTTTTATTTTTTAGCAATAAATCTCTTTTACTAAAGTGATTTTTCTTTTCCTTACCTTACATAACTAAATTTTGGGTTATTTATTGAGCTTTTTTTTTTTTTTTTTTTTTTGCTACTAAGAAGTTGAAGATTTAAATGTTTTTTTTTGTTTCTTTTTTTTTTCTTGAGTAGGTAATAGATTTTTAAAAAACCTAATAAATGATTTTGGATTTTGTTTTGGATTTTGAATACTTGAAAGTTAAAACTAAAAAACTGAATCGAGTGTTCAAATCGTCGAGTATTTTCTTGTCATTAAAAATAAAATAGGTAATTTGCTTTTTACAAAATAAAATTACAAAAAAAAAAAAAAAGAAATAATTAATGACTAAAGTTCGCGCATTAATTATTTCGTTTCTAGCATTTTTTACTGTTATTGCTTAGAAATACAAGGACAACAGTAAAAGAAAAATGTTTTCATGATTGCCTCCCCGACTTCAACCTAGAAAAAAAAAAAGGTCAATAAAAAAAGACATGGCTATTTTATGGTAAATTTGCTTTTTATGCCCATATTTCAATTTCAGCATGTACATTTACACGGAAATATGACAATTTGTGAAAATTATTTAGTGCGGGGCTTAAAAAGCAAATTTACCATAATAACTTATTTCAAGACAAAAATAACTAACATTCACTGATATAAATAAAAATTGATAAAAAGCAGCTTAGCTTATGACATTTAAAACTAAAACCTTTCTTTACTCTTTTACTAGCTTTAAAAGATCGGATATAGGTTTTTTTGTTTTTTTTTTTTCTAACTTACTAAAAACTGTTTTACTTAGCTTTTATATCGTAAGATTTTTTTCATGAACTCATATTATGAAACTTCGTTTGGAACAGTCATAATTTCGAAATAAAACTAAATAGCACCAGAAATTCCATAGAATTTATTTTAATTTACCGCCCCTCCCAAACTTCCAGATCAAAACTGAAATTTAATTCAGCCTTTGGGATTCATAAAAATGTAAAATGTCTCACAATTTTTTTTCTTGCTTTGATGTAATTTCTAACTAACGAATTGTTTTTCAAACTAATTCCAGCTTTTACTTAAAAATAGGAAAAATTGAAATAAATTTTTATTGCATTTTTGGGACACTTGACTAACTACACTTTTTTTTCTAAGCTAGAATTTACATGAAGTTAAAATACTTTTGAATTCTTCTTAAATCTTACTAGTGGTTATTTTCGAAATCTAAAACTCAACAAACCTAGTAACTTTCATTAACAATATCTTTAAGTTAAAAAAAATTACCCAACATTTTTTTTTTTTTTTTTTTTTCATACAGGTTGATTAAATTATTGGTAATAATTGTAGCCAGATGACTCAGTGGACAATAGTGTCTCAAAAATAGCACCTTGCCATTGCACTTAACTGGGGTCAAAGTGTTTTAGTGGGTTATTTTCGTATGTTGCACATTTATGGATTACTTACAATATCAGTCATGTGTTGTACTGTGGCTATGCTCTCCTCTCTAGCACTAGATGACCTCTACCTTTTGGATGGTTGGCGCAGCGAAATTTCAGTGCTACTGTTTTTTGTTTAGTTTACACAATTATGTTAGTGTTGTAGAGCCATTATGGTCTTTGAAAACTTAATACAATTGGCTTGGATTCATTAAATCCTAAAGGTCACTTGTAATTTTTGTCCTGAAATTAAGAATTCGTTATAGAAATTAAATATTATTTGCGTTTTTTTTTTTTTTTTTTTTTTTTTTGGCATGTCAAAAGGTTGAAAGCAGGAGTCGTGTTAAAAATACTTCTGATAATGTTAGTTCATCAAATGAAAAGTACTTTGTGATTTTATAATGATAATTAATGCTTAAGTTACAATTAATTAAACCTTGTGTCAGTAGGTTCTATTGAAGAAATTTCTTTATTTTGGAATATGCTCAGATTGTGACGACTTTACACTGGTTGCACAAGTTTCTTAATGATTCTTATTTTTGGTCAGGGTGTTCATCCATGGATATCAACGGTTTCCTGTTCCTTGCAGCTCTAAATAATTTTTTTTTTTTCTAAACCCTATTCACCCATCCATTTTTTCTCAAGTATGTTATGCATTGTTTTCCTCTCAATCTGTCCTGTGAGTAACATATTTTCCAAGCCTCCTTCCTCATTATGTGCCCCAGAAATTTCGACTCTCTTCCTGATGTTAACTACAAGTTTTGTTTCCATTTTCTCTAAAACCTTGTTGCTCACATGTTTAGTTCATAGTATCATCAGCATCTTTCTGTAGAGCCACATTCATGTCTCTTCTTCATCTTTGAGGAGATTGTCCAGCATTCACTGCCATACAGTATGACATATCGCATTACAATTCAGTACTCTTTTCTTTGTTTCTAACAGTTTTTCTATAATACTCTGCTTAACTTTTAGAATGTATCTTTGGATTTCAGTGTCATACTTTCTGTCCTCTGTTAGAACACTTCCCAGGTATTTAAATTTTTGTACTTGGTTGATCTTGTTACCTCTAATTTGTAATTTGCATTTTGGGCTCCTCCTCTTGCTAATAAGCAAGCATTCTATCTTCTTGCAGTTTTAGTCCTTTCTTTTCACTTTATTTAGCCATAGACAATTATTCTTTTGTTTTATAACCAAGGGAATAAGGGAGTTTTTATTCATCTCTCATGTTTATATAGACATGGTCATTTAAAATTTCTGTCAAAGGATTTTTTAGTAGATTCATAATAGATATCAAAGCCATTCATGGATAATTGTCTAGTAATTGTTAGAATATTGTAGATTTTATCAGCACAAAACTATTACAGAGAAACCCGGATATAAGAGAGATTGTCTCTGGTCCCAAATTAGAGCCTGTGAGACCAAACCCGGATATAAGAGACTTCTTCTCCGGTCCCGACAACTCTCTTATATCCGGGTTACACTGTATAATGGATATTATAGTGAGTTTGATCACTTTGGATTAATTTCACACATTTCAATAATATGACAGCTACTTGATTCAAATATCTTCAAATGAAAAAGTTTTGCTTTAATTTTAGACTTCACTTAACTGCCATTATTGAATATGAATTTTTCACTTTTTGTGCACATTTATATCCACATTTAATCTGTATAGTGGGCAAAACTGTTACAGCAAAAACCATGGACTCAACGAACAAAAGCTTTGTAAAACTTTAGGCATTCTCTGCAGCATTTGATTTTTATTTATATGGATATTGTATTCAAATAAAGTCTGATTTAACAAAAACATTGTGGAACATGAAATTGGTTTCCAATTCATCTTCAGTCTTATTGGACAGGAGATGTGTATACATTAGTGATGTAGGTTTTGGTCCTTATTAACCATTCTGTTTGGAATATTAAGACTTCATCAAAACTATTTTTTAAAAAAAAAAAAAAAAAAAAAAAATTTGAACTGTAATATTGTTAGTTTCATTTCTAAAAGTTATAATTACTTTTTATTTACTCTTTATATTCAGATTATTATGGTACTGCTCAGTTATTGCTCACCTGTTTCCACCAAGTACACACTACCTGAGCCAGGGATTGAACTCACAATCACTATGTCACCAAATTCATGAACCAAAACTTTAATCCACTAGGCCATTGAGGAAGGCTGGAGGGCATAATAGCTGAAATATAATAACAACAAAGATGATGAGAGTACTCCAAATATAAATAGTGTAAATAATAACTCCTTATTCCAGAAATTCTGACAGAAACTTTTTGTCAATAAATCTGTTTGCATCATCTTTCTTTATTTTTTTTTCTGGGGTATCTAAATTCAAAGAAATTGAGTTGTGTGTTTTTTTTTTTTTTTTTTTTTTTCAAAATTTACCCGGGTTAAAGTTTATCGTGACAAGTGATAATTAGCTTCCTTGACCAACTAATATTGCTATGACAGTTTGAACTCTGACCCTGATTGTTTTTGTTTATTTCCATCGATTTAATCGGGGTGGGGGTTAGGTTAGGAAATGAGCAGATTAATGTTTATCATTAAATGTTACAAAGCCTCAATAATGAGACCTCCATTTTGTTGCCTTTTTAATAAAATTGATGCAAACACTTACCACTATATTTCAATTGAATTTTTTTTATTATGGTAGAAGTTATATTCCCTTTTCATCTAATTATGTTCTTGTATCTTCATGTGATATGCCCTTCAATGATCTTATGAAAATATCTATTGCCTTATATTTGTCATCTTATTGTCTCCCTTTGAAGATTAATGTTATACATTTGTTACATGGGAGAGTGGTTTTCCAAAGTGCTTACTTGCCTACTTTTGTCCATCTCCTGTCAGTGATGGTATATTTTATTAAGTGAACATAGGCAGCCTTGGGCAAAATTTGAAATAGGCTTGCCAAACTTTTTCCCTAAATAACAAACCACTTAATGTCTTTGTGTTTCTTTACTTGAATCTACTTTTTTGTTTAATTTTCTAAGATTCAACAACTTAAAATAAAAAATAGTCATTTTCCCTGAAATTGTATAGTTTTGAAATCAGTCTTCATGAAGTTTTTTGCAATGTCAATCGTATTCTATTGTATAATTTTTGGTTTGTACATCATTAAAATGACCTGTTTTAATCTTATGCAAAATAAACACACATAATGTTCATTATTTGAAACTTTTATTTGATATTGGTAGCTTGTCTAAATCTATCAACTATGATCATATACAACTGGTTCGTATTTGGTTATTTAAAATATCCAAGCCAATGTTAAGATTTCAGTTTAATATTTTTTCTCTTGTATATTGTCAGCATCTGAACTGATGATTGGTTCATAAATAGGAAGTAATTTCTTTAAGTATGTTTTTTTTTATTTTTTATTTTTTTTATTTTTTTTATTTTAAATGTGACTAATTGGCTAAAGGTTTTTTCTTTTTTTTAATCACAGTGTATTACAATAGATGGCACTAACCCTCCTCTGTCAGGTGATTTTTATACCTGACACAATGCCTTTGTATTCTTAATGTTGTAAGTTTCAATGACATTTTTATAATCTCTTTTGTCTAAAGTAGTATAACAATAATAATGTGACTGTTTTAAACCGTTCACCTCCCTTCCAGCCTTTAAAAGAACCTTAATCAGATTTGAATTAACAAGATCATTATACTTTTATTTTAAATTTATAAAGAAAGGGATTTAAAGATTTTTTTTTTTTTTTTTTATTGAATGTTAGCATTTCCCCTTGCTCCTTTCCTCCATCTTTTATTCTGAATTTTACTTAATACTTTTGGCTCTTAGTAGATTCATTTGGTCAATCCTAATCCACCGGGGAGAGGAATTTATATTGTCACAGCTTTTGTTAACAATGACAATACTTACCATTTTTCCCTAATTACGTTTTTTTTCTCTTTTCCTTGGTTATTATCATTTTTACTTTTATAATTTTCACTTGTTGATGTTTTTATGCTTATCTTCATAAGATAAACTAAAGACTGAGAATTTAGTTAATTGAAATTCTGTATCAAAATCATTTAAAACATTAAAATAGTGGGAATTTGAAAAAAAAAAAAATTTTTTTTATTTTTTTTTTTTTCCTTTTAAATTGGCAGTATTCTTGCTTAAATCATTTGTTTATAAATTTACAATATTATGGCTAAATGAAAAGAATTGTATACCTTGTTTTATTTATTTCATATTTTTATTAAAAATTACTTGGGAACCAAGTGGCATTTAAATGGTAAATGAATTGTTGCATTAAGTATTTTGAAATCATTAAAGTTTCCATAAAACTCTTCAGAAAAACTTTCCCTTGAAAGTCCTTGAGTAAGCTAAATGCCAAATTTGTTCCAAAAGTCATCATTTAACATAATTTTGATTCATATCTCTTCAATTAAACACTTTCTGAAGGTAGGAAATATATCGTGTTCAGAGAAAGTTTTAAACTTTGCATTTATAACTTTATCTATTCTATGACTGCTTCAAGCTCAAACTATTGTTATCTAGTTTTTGCTTTAAGTGTAGAGGTTTTCATATCTAAAAACTGAAATTTGCAATTCAAAATGCAGGTGAATAACCTCAAAATTCTGTTAGCACTATGTGAAAGTTTTAAAATTATGATACAATCCAATTAAAACAATATTTCAGTTTTTTTATATAAACTGCTATTAAATAGAAAGTCTCATTTAACAATACTTGATTTCACTTGTGGGTTAAATAAAATTATTTAGAAAAAAACTTCTTTATTTTTAGTTGACCCTTTATTCTAGAGGATGTGGCAGAAATACCTCCTGTATAATTGTCAAACATCAGTGGCTATAGTGTCTTAATCTAGCTATTGTCTTAACATTGTTTTATTTCTTCTGCACCCTGTATTTGCTGATATATTTAATCACTTTTGTGGGTGGTTTTAAGTAAAATAAATCGATGCTATTCATTCAACACTTGATTTCATATTTGGAATCTAAAAATATCCATTTTGAGATGTACATAACTCTTTTAAATTGAGAAAAATTCTTGCCTAACTTACTGACTGGTATCACTTAATTGCAATTAGTAACAAGATTTGAGGTTAAATTTAAAAGCTGCATTTTTTTTTTGTTTCATCATTTTACATTTCCTTTTTGAAGGTCACCTCCCACACACTTTTTTTCCTCTTTAATCAACAAAATATCTAACCTCAGAAAATTCTAATTCTTATGAAACCACAAAATGATCCTTTATACATAATTGCATTTTGATAAATTTTAAATCTTTAATATTGCTTCCTTAGCTCTTATAGGTGTTAAGTTTTCATTATTAATCTTAAATAGTATTACATAATCAGTGATTTTTAATGAAATCCCCTATTTTGAATAATTATGTATCGAATCTTTGGGAGTTTATCCTTCTTGACTTGCTATAATGGGTTAGTCACTGAAATTTTATTCTTACAGGGCCAATTATCATCAATAAATTCTGTTATATGGTGAAAATAGTAAACAAAAATATGTATCAAAACAAATTGGCAGCTATTTTTGTTTCAGCTCCTAAAATTCTGGCCTTTTTATTTACATTTCTTTGTTTACATAAAGGCATTTGTATGCAATCTGGTGCTGTCCAATCCTCAGTGTCCAGCCAAAAGTTTTTATATAGCCTTCCTTTTGAGTGATGACTTATTCTCTATCCTGCAAACCCTTATATTCCATAAATGAAACCTTGCTAGCCTCTCCCTACTCTATTGCTATTACTATGGCAGATGTTCAGGCAAGTTACATTCTTTAGTTCTACCAGCTGAGACCTTCACAGCTAGGACCAGCTATGCCATGTTGATGGTGACAAACCATTCCCATTCCCTTTTGATAAGGAGCAAGTCTGCTTGGACAGCTTATTCTCTAGAACTGTTGCTCTATGGAACATCCTCCCGAGAGGATGCTTCCCTCACAACTACAATCTTGGTGTCTCTTTGAGTCTCTTTGAGTCCAGATTCAACTGATATCTATCCTACATGTACTTATAACATATTTCTTAATTCTTACCCCCCCCCCACCTTCACTTACAACAATTTTACTCAGTAACCCTCCACTACTTTATGTGGACCTTGTATTGCATGAATTATCAGTAAAAATTACCTTTTCTTGATTGTGTGCTTATTTTTGATGAAAAGTAGTTTGTGTGAAATTCAAATGTAGGTCAGACTTTCCAGTCTTTACCTCAAAAAGATCTTACCTGTTTAGTAATTGTCTAATGGCAATTTGGTCAAACAATCATGGCAGTTTTATTGTCCTTAAAACTGATGTATCAAAAGTTGGAAACAATTTGGTCAGATGTGGTGAATAGAAAGGAGCCTATACTGCTACATTATACAAAAATTTCCTATAATTTAAAAAAAAAAAAATGACAAAAAAGAAACCACTCATTCTCCCTATTCACACTTTTAGATGCATATACATTCCAGCAGATGTACACCAATGAAGACCCAATTAAAATGAATTCTGGCTACTTGTATACTCCTGTAACTAGTTTTTATCATGATGGAATAAATTCACTGATAGATTGTTAGCATTGTGCCAATTCTAATAAAGTTGTTAAAGCTGAATTATGGCTTTTTATTTTATCTTTACATATTTTTTTTTTTCTTTTAAATAATTGAGGTGCTTTTTATTGTATTTGAGTAAATTCAGATTTTGTTTATCCATTTGCTTGTCCTGTCAACAAATGTACATTATTTATTTATTTTTTTTTTTTTTTAGAACTATTAAAATTATTGAAAATGTCTTCAACAATAACAAAGGGGTTATTTACTTTTCTTTTTCATTTTTTTTTTTTTTTTTTTTTTTGTCTTGTCTGTTATCTTTTGGTGTATTAGGAATATTTAAAAATTTGAATGTTAAATTTGTTTTGTGTATCAAACCATCCAGAATATTTTACTGGGGAGGGGAAATCATTTATTTACTGAAATATTTTGTAATCTGCATCTTTATGCTTACAATAAAATTACAGCATTAAACATTTTTTTTTTTTTTTTTTTTGTGGGAGATGGAACTTTTGAAGAGAAACAAGGTAGCCAGTAACTTTGCTTAATCTTTCTTTTCTAGAACTGTTCATCTGAGGGTCATTGTATCTGGTATGGGCAATGTGGAAATGGCTACAATAATCAACCAACCAATTGTGTTTATAATGGAACAGCTAAGCCACTTAATGATTCAGAAGCATTAAAAATATTGGAAAATTTTTGTCCGGAGCTTTATAAAGGTAAGTAAAATTGTTACTAGTTTGATGTTTGCTACTTTTTTAACTTAATAATTTTAATTGCTTTGAGTAATACATCTCTATTCACATAATTCAATTTTTTTATTAATTTTTTCTTTTGAATGTAGCAATGATGAAAATTATAATGTTAAAACTCAGTTTAACACAGCACAAGACTAGAGATGTTAATAATGAAAGTTTGAAGGTTTAGTTACGCTAAATTTTAAGGTAAACCTGCCTTGAAAATCGGTATTCAAGGTTCAGGCTTTTATTTTGGTTTGACCGCCAATTACTGGTTGTTGCAATTATGCAAGTCTGGCCAACCAATTTTGTTTGGCATTGATCAACTTTTTTTTTTTTTTTTTTTTTTTTTATTGAATTTCTTGTGCATGTGAAATGTTTCCTTAAGACTTCCAAAATATATTTGTGCAAAAAGAAAAAAATTCAAATATTTAAATTTGAAGCATCTTCATACCATACAAATAGCCAAACCTGTCAACTGTACTTGGGAAAGAAGTTGCAAATAATAATTTAAAAATCAAACAAATTTCTAGGCAGATGTAGACATTAACAGCAAGTTTATTTAAAACCAAATTAAGATTTCATTTATTTTTTATCCATTTTAGTTACCCAGCTCCATTAAACAGTAATTATGCTTACAAGCCAATCATGATTTTTATCTATTACAATAATGTTAAGATCAGTCCAGTTGAATTAATATTAAATATTGTTGAAATCCAACACAAATATTAGAAATATTTCTAATAAACTATAGTCTTTCATCAGCTTAATAATTTACTTAGAAAAAGTTCACACACATTTGTATCCAAAATGAAAATACTTAGTTACACATCAAAAAATTGTTAAAATTAAAAAATTGAATTTAATTTTATATTTTTCAGCCATCTTATGGAAAATAATTGTTTAAATTTAATTATAATTTTTATCTTTTTAAAAAATAAACTTCATTGTGTTTTTTGTTTTTGTTTGTAACTATAAAAAGGTAAATTTGCAGATTAAGACCCAGAAACCAATTGTAATGAAAATTTCCATTCTGGAGTAAATTTGCATGATTATTTAAAAAATAACAAAAGTTTGGAGATGAATACTGTGTAGGATTTATCAACCAATCTTAGTTCGGCCGTATCAACCAATCTTAGTTCGGCCGTATCAACCAATCTTAGTTCGGCCGTATCAACCAATCTTAGTTCGGCCGTATCAACCAATCTTAGTTCGGCCGTATCAACCAATCTTAGTTCGGCCAGATCAACTAATCTTAGTTCGCCAGATCAACCAATCTTAGTTCGGCCAGATCAACTAATCTTAGTTCGGCCAGATCAACCAATCTTAGTTCGGCCAGATCAACCAATCTTAGTTCGTCAGATTTACTAATCTTAGTTCGGCCGTATAACCAATCTTAGTTCGGCCAGATTAACCAATCTTAGTTCGGCCAGATTAACCAATCTTAGTTCGGCCAGATTAACCAATCTTAGTTCGGCCAGATTAACCAATCTTAGTTCGCCAGATCAACCAATCTTAGTTCGGCCAGATCAACCAATCTTAGTTCGGCCAGATCAACCAATCTTAGTTCGCCAGATTAACTAATCTTAGTTCGGCCAGATTAACCAATCTTAGTTCGCCAGATCAACGTTCGCCAGATTAACCAATCTTAGTTCGCCAGACAACTAATCTTAGTTCGGCCAGATTAACCAATCTTAGTTCGTCAGATTAACCAATCTTAGTTCGGCCAGATTAACCAATCTTAGTTCGGGCCAGACAACCAATCTTAGTTCGGCCAGATCAATAAATCTTAGTTCGGGCCAGATTAACCAATCTTAGTTCGGCCAGATCAACCAATCTTAGTTCGGCCAGATTAACTAATCTTAGTTCGCCAGATTAACCAATCTTAGTTCGGCCAGATCAACCAATCTTAGTTCGCCAGATTAACCAATCTTAGTTCGGCCAGATTAACCAATCTTAGTTCGGGTCAGACAACCAATCTTAGTTCGGCCAGATTAACCAATCTTAGTTCGGCCAGATCAACCAATCTTAGTTCGCCAGATTAACCAATCTTAGTTCGCCAGATTAACCAATCTTAGTTCGTCAGAGAACCAATCTTAGTTCGCCAGAACCAAAAATTAGTTCGGCCAGATTTAACCAATCTTAGTTCGCCAGATTAACTAAAAATTAGTTCGGCCAGATGGCTGGAAAACCAATCTTAGTTCGCCAGATCAACCAATCTTAGTTCGGCCAGACAACCAATCTTAGTTCGGCCAGATTAACCAATCTTAGTTCGGCCAGATCAACTAATCTTAGTTCGGCCAGATTAACTAATCTTAGTTCGGCCAGATTAACCAATCTTAGTTCGCCGATCAACCAATCTTAGTTCGGGCCAGATCATCTGTGACCAATCTTAGTTCGCCAGATTAACCAATCTTAGTTCGGCCAGATCAACCAATCTTAGTTCGGATCTGCCAGAGAAACTAATCTTAGTTCGCCAGATTAACCAATCTTAGTTCTAGAAAATTTTTAAATTATTAAAAAAAACTGGGCCAGATTAACTAATCTTAGTTCGGCCAGATCAACCAATCTTAGTTCGGCCAGATCAACCAATCTTAGTTCGGCGTATCAACCAATCTTAGTTCGGCCGTATCAACCAATCTTAGTTCGGCCGTATCAACCAATCTTAGTTCGGCCGTATCAACCAATCTTAGTTCGGCCGTATCAACCAATCTTAGTTCGGCCGTATCAACCAATCTTAGTTCGGCCGTATCAACCAATCTTAGTTCGGCCGTATCAACCAATCTTAGTTCGTCCGTATCAACCAATCTTAGTTCGTCCGTATACATAAGCTTGCATCAAGTAGCAATGCACAGAAGTTTCACATGTATATATATGTGCAATGTTTAAAAATAACCCAACAGAAAAAGCCTCACTATTCTAAATATATCAGAAAAAATGAAAAAAAGCAAAAACATAGAATAAAAATTACAAGATAAAGAAAAAAAAATTTCAAGGCAAAAAATTTTTTTTATAAAATAATGAAATTTATTATTTGATGTGTCTTGACAGTTTACTTAAAATCTGACAATTACGTGATTTTTACAAGAATTTCCAAAACTGTTTTTCACCAGAAAAAAATGTGCATGTGTCTGTAAGGGCAATAAAAAATAAATAAATAAATGGTATTTTCCTAAATTTATTTATTTTGCAACAAACAAAAAAAAAAAAAAAAAAAACAATGAAGTTTATTCTTTAAACATTGAGTAAAAAAAATATTTTCATAAGATGGCTGAAAAATATCAAACTTATTTAGATCTTCTGAGCAACACTGGGTATCCCTGTGTGTGTGTGTCTCCCTCCCTCTCTGTGTGTGTGTGTCTCCCTCCCTCCCTGTGTGTGTGTGTGTCTCCCTCCCTCCCTGTGTGTGTGTGTCTCCTCCCTCCCTCTCTGTGTGTGTGTGTCCCTCCCTCCCTCTCTGTGTGTGTGTCTCCTCCCTCCCTCTGTGTGTGTGTGTGTCCCTCCCTCCCTCTGTGTGTGTGTGTGTGTCCCCTCCCTCCCTCTGTGTGTGTGTGTCTCCCTCCTCCCTCTGTGTGTGTGTGTGCCTCCCTCCCTCCCTCTGTGTGTGTGTGTCCCTCCCTCCCTCCCTCTGTGTGTGTGTCCCTCCTCCCTCCCTCTGTGTGTGTGTGTCCCTCCCTCCCTGTGTGTGTGTGTCCCTCCCTCCCTCTGTGTGTGTGTGTGTGTGTGTGTGTCTCCCTCCCTGTGTGTGTCTCCTCCCTCCCTCTGTGTGTGTGTGTGTGTGTGTGTCTCCCCCTCAAATAAAAAAAAAAAAAAATTTTCTGCCATGACTTTAATAAAAAAAATTTATAATTTTGATCATCTGTGAATAGTTCCTAAAAATTTCATTAACTTCTGACAATTATTTATATTTTTGCAAGATTTTCCAAAATGTGTGCCATACCAAAAAAAAACGTGCTAAAAATTGCCTATGTTATTTACAAGATCTGCTCATACAAAGAGAAACCAGATATTTTTTTTTTTTTTTTTTTTTAATCACGATTTAGAATCTTCTAAAAAGGAAAAATTTTTTTTTAAATTATTAAAAAAAAACTGGTCTTTCCTCTTAACAATAACATAAGTATTTAAGCGATAAAATTTTGTTTTCGGCAGGGTTGGCGTTTTTTCAAGCTATGCTCTTTTTTTTAGCAATTTTGTGGAGGTACCTATGTATTTGTGTGTGTATGCATGTGTTAAATTATATAATTTAACTATTTCTTCTAATAAAGTGCTAAATATTAGACTAGTGGTAATTTTTACATCAGAAGTAAAATATTTAATACTTATTGAATGTCAACTTGGTTTCGTAATTTTTCTATTGCTCATCTGGACTCAACAAGAATGATTGTATTGATTGCAAAATCTGTTAACTGTAATTTTAAAGTTACAAACACAACTTAATTGGCTTTTCTATTCTTGAGAGCAACTTGTTGATTTCAGTTATAATGTAGAATTGAAATTTGAATGTTAGTGTATAAATATTCATTTTTTAAAATGTATTTTCTGTGATAATTATAATCATTTGTTCCAAATTGTGATTACTGTGTTAGCCTTCAATAAGTATTAATGTTTTACTTCTTATATACACAGTGGGGTTGAATAAGTAATCGTGCAACAAACAAATGCTTGTTATTCCCACTTATAGCGAATGAAAACCTCGAATAACAATGTTTTATATGTATTTTGGGGCATAGAATTAGAATCTGCAATTTAAAATTAGAAATTCATCAATAAGTGATAGTTATGCAAATTTTTATATTTCAAATAGTGGGAAAAGTGTTCATACTGTATTAATTTTTGCATTATGATATGGTAGATTTTGGTTGTACTTCAAAGTAGAATATTCTAAACTGTTCTAGAATATTGTCAGTAACTCTATTGCAACATTCAGTTCAAAATTGAATCATTCTGCAGTCACTGTTCACTGATAATGGTTCTAATGATGGCTAGATGTAAGGAATGACTTGTGCTTAAAGAACTAATTATCAAGCTATGGAACAATGGAAAAAGTTACAGAAACATCTCCAGTGACCTGAAAATAACCTTTTTCAACAATTGGTTCATTTATTGCAAGATTTAAGATGTAATACTGTCGAGAACAAAGGCAGATCCAGTGCTCCCAGGAAGATCTCTCCCAGATTATGAAGAAAGTTGATGCAACAGGTCCAAAATAACCCAATGGCCATCAGACAAAACCTTCAGAATGATCTGTCAGGAGTTAACATAACTAAGCAAACGATTAGTAATGAATTACGTAGAGACGGTATAAAGTTGTGCTCCCCAACAAAGACACCACTCCTGAAATGGCATAGAGATGCCAGGTTGAAATTTGTGACAGAGCAATAAAGATAAAGAAAATTCTTATTGGGAAAATGTTCTTTGGACAGATGAGAGTAAAATTTAGTTGTTCGGTCGCAATTCCCTGAATCATGTATGGAGGAAAGACAGTGAAGCATATGCACACAAGAACACCATACCAACTGTCCTCTTGATTGGATCTTCCAGCAGAACAATGATCCCAAGCATGCTGCTAAGAGTACGAAGAATTGGCTCACTAATAACGTTAACACCTTACAATGGCCCAGTCAGTCACCAGATTTGAATCCAATAGAGAATTTATGGCAGTTTTTGAAAAATAAGATCCATGTTAGAGGTCCAATAAACATGAAAAACCTGAAGACAATTACTCAGGAAGAATGGGACAAAATACCTACTAAAGTATGCGAATCGTTAATTAAAGACTTCAGGAAGAGATTGGCGGCTGTTGAACTTAATAAAGGATTTGCTCCAAAATATTAAATGGAGAAAACATGTTTTTGTTCTGCTGTATGGTCATTTTTTAAACCCCTAAAAATTTCTATATTTTCTTAATGGAATATTATTTAGTTTTATATGCATACATTTTTAGTATGTAATCTGATACAGTAGATATATTTCTGTTTTGTTGATTTAATGTTACAAATAAAAATATGAAATATTTTCATGTGTACGATCACTTATTCAGCCACACTGTGTGTGTGTGTCTATATCTACATATCTACGTATCTACATATCTTAAAACAAAAACCATAAAAAATCGCTACACCATAGCAGTCGTGTTTCGACACTACAAATGTGTCACCTCGGATGATAGCAAATTATTGGGGAGTGAACAATTAATTTCAAAAGCAGAATACTTCCTTTATTTATTTATTTTTTTTTTTTAATTTTTTTTTTTTTTAAATGTGTCCCCCCTCCCTCTCCTTCATGTGCACATGTAGTCAAATTAACATGAACATCAATTTAGTCTGAAGTCCTAAAGGCTGAAACATTTTGCACTAAAACTTCTTCCACTTTGATATCTTTTTTTTTTTTTTTTTTTTTTTTTCTATTCATGTTTTCATCTTAGCTCTTGAAATATCAGTATCAGACACTTAATAATCTTAGTACAGTGCATGGCCAGATGGAAATAGGCAGATTGTTGCTCCAAGCATGGAAATTTTTTTTCTTTAATATGGTCTTGACTGATACCATATATAATGAGTGATGAATTTTAATAGGGTAGTTTTCTTAATTCTTCCTTTCTAATTTTTGCATACAATTTATTTTTATATTACAGGCCCCAACACTGTAACATGTTGCAACAAGCAAACACTGCAGAACTTCACTGCTAGTTTAAATGTAGCTGAACATATGCTGGGTCGCTGTCCTTCTTGTTACCACAACTTCCGAAATCTCTACTGCGCCTTCACTTGTGATCCAGTGCAGAGTAACTTTGTTGATGTAGCTCTTTCACTACCAGATCCAATTCTTAAGAAAATGAAAGTGATGAACATCAACTATGCTGTTTCTAATAACTTTGCCAATGGCTTATTTCGCTCCTGTAAAAATGTGAAGATGCCCAGTGCCAACAAAAGAGCCTTGTCTCTGATGTGTGGTTCCAAAGGTGATCACTGCACCATACATGACTGGCTGACATTCATGGGCTCCTCTTCTAATGGTGTATCCCCTCTGCAAATAAACTTTAACATCACTGATACCCCATGGCAAAAAGGAGATCATGTTTTGATCCCAATGAATTATAGCGTTGTTCCATGTAACAAGTCTTACAGTGTTAACATATCTTCCTGCAGCTGTCAGGATTGCCTAGATGCATGCCCAAATATTCCACCAATACCTAAACCTCCAGTTCCATGGAAAATTCTCCATGTAGATGCCTATACATTTATCTGGGGATGTGCATTCATTATCTTCTTTGTTTTCTTCATGTCATATGTAATCTGTGAAAACATTGTGTTCCAGAATAGCCTTGGTCTGAGAGGCGGCCCTGTTGAGGTAACATCGAATTATGCTGTTATTGTAAAAGCACCAACAAAGACTGGCTGTCTAACACAGTTAGGGGATAATTTTATGAAAAGCCTTGACATGGCTTTCTCAAAATGGGGTACATGGTGTGCTCGGCACTCTTTATTAGTTCTTATTATTGGACTGTTAATTTCTGTTATTCTCTCTTGTGGGATTGTAATGTTTAAAGTTATTACTGACCCCGTGAAGCTGTGGTCAGCCCCTGAAAGTCAAGCCCACTTGGAGAAGAATTATTATGATGAAAAGTTCAGGTAAGTTTTAGAAAATTCTGTTTGTCTTTATTACAGCTTTTCTCTTCAGAATTATGCTATTTTAGTTCATAAAATTTAAAATGAAAATTCAAACTAAGGTTTGAAATTATTTTTCTTGGCAACCGAAATTTTTTTTTTTTTTTAGAATTTAGTAAATACAGTTTTTCAGTTATTTTTCTCTAAATATTGGGTTACATTTTTGTATATTTTCCAAAAATGGTTAAGAAAAATGGTAGGGTTCACCAACAGTAGCCTTTACTGCTCTGATACTCCCCCTCTCATTCTACAAGTGGAAAATTAAAATTGTAATCTGTTAAAACCTAAGTGAAAGAATGCAATGCATGAATTTGTCAATTTAATATATCCAATGATTTAAAGTTTTCTATCACAATACAAGAACTAGAAATTTTGAAGTGAGAAGCAAATTTTGCTCATATTTATTGCCGTGTGTGTGTGTATATATATATATATATATATATATATATATACACACACTTTTTCTCTCATAATACAGATTTATTTTATAAGATTGTTTTATACATTTTTTTTTTTTTTTTTTTTTCTTATTGGCATTTGAATTACAACATGCATAATTTTTTTTTATCTTTTTAACAGTAAAAAATATTCTGCTAGAAAATTTAAATTCAAACAATTTTATTTCAGACCCTTCTACCGGACTGAAATGATAATTGTGACAAGACCTGGGAACCATTCTGATGTTGTTCATAATTTACCACCACCATCTGTTGGCACGATGAATTTTAATCCAATATTTGATTTGGATTTTATGCACCAAGTAATTGTTTTTATTTAATCTCTTAATGGAAAAGTTTAACTAGAGCAATAATTGATTAATTCGTGATTTTATAAATGAAAAGGATTCATACAACTTAATATTAGATATTTGTACACCTTCATATTGGGAGAATTTTATTTTCCTTGTTGGGTCATTTTGAACAAAACTTATAAAAAAAAAAAAAAAAATTTTTTTTTTTTTTTTTTTTTTTTTAAACATTAAAAAAAAAAAACATTGGAAATAAAATTTCATCTGATTTAAGTGAGCATCACTCACTACAGTAGTAATATTCTACAAGGCTGTTTCTAACTACAATTCGCTGGAAGTGAGTCTAGGGATGTGTTTAATTTCTTTTCTGAACTATAGTAAGAATCTATTATAATTCTGACTACACTTTTTTTCTTAAAGGTCCTTGAACTTCAGCAAAATATTGCAGGACTTCTGGCTTCTTATGAAAACAAGACAATTGGCCTGAAAGACATTTGTTTTTCCCCTTTGTCACCACAAAATGACAACTGTACTATTACAAGTATCTTCCAATATTTTCAAAATAGTCATAAAAATCTTGACACAGTCAACAAGGACATGTTTTTTGAATATGGAAACTACCTTGATCATATCCTTAACTGTGCAACGTAAGTAAATTTTATGCTATTAGTAATTCATTTTTTTATTTAAATTATTTTTTGTATAGAAAACTTTTTTAAATAAGGTTACTTAAATTTTAATAACAACTTTGTCAGCCGAAGACATTGACTTGGTGTTTTTCTTTTCCTCTCTTGAAAAAAAAATATCATGTATCATATATTCTAAAGATTGTCTTAGATATTTGTCCTGCCATCTGTAATACCATTGTATTAAACTAAAAAAAATAAATTAACAATTATGTTTGCTCACATCACATATTATCAAATATATTTTGAAAGTTACATTTTCCATATTCCAGGAATCCAACTTCTTTTAATGAAACATCACTTTTTATGCCATGTATGTCATCTTATGGAGGGCCAGTAGATGCCAATGTGGCCTTGGGTGGCCTGAAAGGTTTGTCATTTTTTTTTTTTTTTTACTTTTAGTTAAGCTTAATTTCTGGATATAAATACCCCCCCCGGTACTGACACTCGGTCATCCTTATGTAGTTTTTTTTTTTTTTCTTCTGCCTTAACATCTTTTCCAATTACTTCTGTTTTAGCCTGATAAACTATGTTGCTATCTAAATAATTTCCTTTCATCAGACAAGCACTTCTAACTCTACAATTACAAAATAGATTCTTCACATTAGCACTAATTTCACTGAGCAGCTTTTTATTATAGTTGAATAACTTTTCATAATTTGACAAGAAGATCTGACTCTAACATTGTTTTTATTAAAGTTTGCTCATTCTCAGCAAAATAGTTCAGTAACTTGAATTTTTTTTTTTTTTTTTTTCCAATATTAGTCTTTACAGTTTGACTGTTTAGTGGAAGTTGTACCATTATAATATTCTCGCTATTATTTCTTTTGTTTTAATTTCCAATTTATCATATATAAATTCTGATGTACTATTTTGCCTAATTAAATATTTTAATGTTACCAGATAATCTGATATCTATTGTAAGATTATAACACATATTCATACTTGGTATAATGTAATTTGTTAAAGTATTCTCTAGACATAATGCTTAGTCTAGTGCCATACACCTGTATAGTTAACATGAAGACTGACTCCAATATGACTACTCTCGACCTCATACCATGGAACTCTTTATAATATTGGATGAGTTCATAGAAGAATCACTGGGGGTGAACTCTTTACTCTACAACATATATGTTGGGTGGCAACAAGTTGGGGTGTTGGAGCCAGCATTTATATAAACTGGGTATATTCACTTCTTTTGGATAAGATTGAAAGCTCCAGTCATGATTAGCTTCTTTTAAGTTTATTTCCAACACCTTTCATTTTCAGGTTTTGTACAAGTTAGTATTTGATTTTTGTGCCTTTTTTTTTTTTTTTTTTTTTTTTTTTTTTTTTTCCTCCTCTTATAATAATGAAGCATAATTACATTTTATTCAGTTCTATATTCACAATTATTTGCATTGATTTGTTGCCAATTATCAGCTCTTTAATATCTTTTGAATAAATTCTGCAAGTTTTGATGTGATGGGTTTTTGAACATTTAAAACTGGCTTTTAATTAGTGAAATTTTGTCCAATCAAAACATTTTGCAGCAATTGAATAAGAAAATAAATGTAAGTTGAATGGTGCAAGCTCTGGTGAAATATGGCAGGTACGGTTGGACAGACTGACTTCCAAAACTCTTTCCTGTAGTTGTTCTTGCTGTATGTGACAATGTGCTGTCTTGAAGGGCATTTTATTTCTTGTTGACTACCAAACTTTGATGATCACATTCCAACTGCTGGATGTATAAATGTGCATTTAGTGTTCTAAATGAATAATACTGCGATTACACAACGTGTACAACTTTACCTTTGCCTCTATGGAACTCGGCTTTTTTGGGGGGGGTCGATTGTGGAGATTTCACCTCAGTCCATTGCCTTTTGCATTGAATATTGTCAGATGTAACCCATTTCTCATCTCCTGTTATATTTAAAGAATGATTGGTTAGGATGATACATTTGTCATTTCAATCAGTTCCTAAAATAGAAATTACTTATGACTCGACCTTTTATTTATTTTATATACACACGCACCCACAGGTAAAGATCCATGGGTAAATAATCCAAGTGAATCCTAATAATATAAATATTAAAACTGATCCACAAAGAGGGCTCAATGTATTTATTACAAGGCCTATTTAGATAAATTACATTTTTTTTTTTTTCTCTCTTTCCTCCCTTTTAATTTTTTTTCTCTTTCTCTTACTTTGTTGTTTTTGTCTTCCTGTTTTTTAAAGTTAAAAAAATCTGCAAGCTTCCTTTTTATTTTATCTTCAAAACTTTTTAGTATTGAAAAACCCTGGTAAGAATTTTTTTTTTCTCCTTACGGGGTGAAATGGCCATCCATATGGGGTATTGAGTTTCATTATATGAAATTTTTATTTGTATATATATATATATATATATATATATATATATATATAAAAATGACTGGGTGCTTTTATCGGAGTATGCCTGTTTACTAGGGTGACTAGCCAATCCCTGTTGCAGACGTCAGCTCAAGCATATTTTGTTTGTTCGGCGCTACTGATTATTTATAATGCAACTATACTGAGCAGACCTTGGTTACAGTTTCTGGGAGAGCACATTATCTGGCAGGATCAACAGTCTGAACAAGGCCCATATGCTTGAACCCTTGGGCATGATTCCTTGAGTTTGTGCTAGCACAACCATCAACACCTAAATAGTTCTGTTTACCCAATTTCACTCACAAGACTTGGGTCAACCTGTGGTATGATTTTTCAAGTACATTTCCAAAGGTACCTTCCTGATTAATTGACCATGATGAAATTCAAGCCCTGGTCTCATGGTTGGAAAGTAACTGTTCTAATCACTCTGTCATCTACTCATTTTATATATATATATATATATATATATATATGAGAGAGGAAACTCTAAAATGTTTGTAGGTAATCTTTATTTGGTTTAAAGATTGTATTAAAAAAATGTGGATGTTAACTAATGATAAAGCTTATCTCTATTTTGATATTCCTATATTTTCAGATGGCAATGTTAATGACTCCAATGCCTTCATTATTTCCTTCATTGTAAACAATCATAAAGATGCAAAGGATAACAAAATGGCTGAGGCCTGGGAAGCAGAATACATTAAATTTCTCAAAAATTATCGCAACCCTAATGTGACAATTTCCTTTTCAGCAGAGGTAAGGAATTCAACCATTCAATTTTTCCTCCAGGAAGAAAACCAGATTCAACATCAAAATTTTTCTGTTAAACTAACATTTCTCTTCTGTATTACCTTGGAGGAATTTGCTGAAAAGTAATTAATTAGAACGTTTGTAAATTGCTGGTTACCGAGTTTCTGTAACCTGTATCTTTGTGTCACACTGAATTTGAAATTCCACACATTATACTAATGTTGTCCAACAAGTTGAATGCACATGAAACATAATAAACCAATAAAAATCAAACAATACAAATGTAAAAATACCAGAATTTCTTTCTTTTTCACAACTTCTCATTCTCTGAACTTTTGATAAAAGTGAAACACATTAGATTGAAAAACATTTCCTCTTTGTTCTTCATTTTGTCACATTGTGGGCAAATTTTAAAATTTCTACCTTTTTAATGGGATTTGGATACAATGAAAGTTCAATCTTGCTAAATTGGTAGGCTCTGCTTATTTATACCATTTAAGAGTTTTTTTTTTTTTTTTTTTTTTCATGAAAAATATTTTGTAATATATTCAGCAATGTGGCCCTCTCTGACCCTAGAGTTATTGGTGTCAGTATGTATTTATTAGATTTGATTGCATGTCTAAAAGGAGACATTTTGTAAATACTGGGAAATGTTACTAATTGTAATTTATTTTATTTTTACAGCGGTCCATTCAAGATGAACTGAATCGAGAAAGTCAATCTGATGTTCGCACTATTCTTGCCAGTTACTTGGTTATGTTTGCTTATATTTTCTTGGCATTGGGACAACTTCAGAATGTTGAGACAATTTTGGTAAGTGTTTTCCTTTTGTCTGCTTGATTACATCTTTTTTTTTTTTTTTTCTTTTTAAATTTGTTCTAATCATTTGACGTCTCAACTGCAATGTGAAAGGATGTAGTTGACTTTACGTAGCTTAATCATAGCAAGGAATAATTCACTAGTTGTATATTATTTTTAAGTTGACATGTTCTCTTTTGATCCAGGACAAGGGAAATTTGTTTAAAACTTGTTTATTTCGCTCCAGTGTGTTATCTCACCAAAGAATTAGCTTGCTTTACAAACACATTTTATATATATATATATATATATATATATATATATATATATATATATGATTCCATTGCAACACAGAATTTCCATGTTTCAAAACTGGAACTAAATTTATAAATCTAAAAATTAAACTTAAAATCCATAGTCTCATTCCATTGTCAAGCAATGTTAGGAATAAACTTTCAAAGAAATTTACTTAATTTATAAGTGCAGACAATATTGATATTATGAGTTAAGGTTAAGGAAAATCTATTTTAATTTCGGGGTGATTGGGTTTTAATTTCACTAGATAGCTTATGTCTCCAATATATGTTACAAAGTCGGGTTAAGTTTAGGTGGGTTGGGGAGTGCCTGCTAACAAACATATATTTCTGTTATTCAGTGAGTCGTCTGGGTTTTCAATGATTAAAAAAAAAAAAAAAAAATTTTATTTTTATTCATCCGCTTATTTCATCACTTTGTTCTACTGTTTGTACCAAGCACTGTTTTTGTTAAAAATAATTAAGAACCCCAGATTATAACTACAGTGTAACCCGGATATAAGAGAGTTGTCGGGACTGGATGTCTCTTATATCTGGGTTTCTCTTATATCTGGGTTTCTCTTATATCCGGGTTACACTGTATTACTGTTCTTTCTTATTTTAATTATGCACACTCTTTATACCTTTTTATTTTCTCTTCAGTGCAAAAGAAGAAAAATGTTTGAAATAAATGTTACTTACCTCTTTATAGATTGTATAGTCCTGAATTAATAAGTACTTAGAATTTAAAGATTTGAAAAATCTAAATATTTTAAGCAATTTCAAAAGTACATAATTATAGGTTCATGATTTATTTTTTCAAAAAATTTACAGCTGTCTTTTTTCTTTTTTTTTTTTTTTTTTTTTTTTTTTTTTTTTTTTTTTTTTTGTACTACAGTCATTTTTACCTTCCTCAGAATATGCTGTATTTGTTTGTTGGAATTTATATCAGCTAAAAGATTAAAAATAAAACTAAAATATGTAATAATTTTTGTACATTTTTTTAAGATTTATGAAAACTTAATGATTATTTCAACTTATAGTTATATAAACTGGTGTGTTCTTAAAATAATATTGATATAGTTACCATGTTTTAAAGTCTGTGTAAACTTGTGAAGTCTTCTCTTCACCAGTTCTTAAGATTACATTGAATCTTTTTCTTTTTTCATCCACTCAATATAGGTGGACCTGAAATTTACCCTTGGTTTTGGTGGTGTTGTTATTGTCTTGCTGTCTGTTATGATGTCACTGGGAATTTTCAGTTATATTGGACAGCCTGCAACTCTAATTATTATTGAAGTTGTCCCGTTCCTTGTTTTGGCTGTTGGTGTTGACAATATTTTTATACTTGTACAAACATTCCAAGTAAGTAAAATCATTTCCCCTCCCCCACTTACCTTAAGTTTTTAATTTTTTTCAACTTTATTTCACTTATTTTAAAATTATATTTGTTTAATTAAATTTTTCAATTCTTAAAAGATTTTTTTTCTTTTTTTTCTTTCTTTTTTTTTCTTTACTTCAATCCAACCTCTCTCTCAAAACGTTTCAATAGATTCTAAGCCAAGTTCTGTAAATCTTTAAAATCTTTTCCTTTCTTTCAGCGAGATAGTCGAATTCCAGAAGAATCATTAGAAGAACAAATTGGGCGTGTTGTGGGCAAAATTGGGCCCAGTATGCTGTTGACAAGTTTGTCTGAATCTGTTGCATTCTTCCTTGGTAAGTGGAAAGAATAAATTATGTGAATAGTGATAACATTGAATGATTTCATTTTACATTCTCACAAAGTACAAAGAAAACTGTGTTTTGAATTTGAATCTTTAAAACAAAATATAAATTAAATATTATACAAACTACTGGTAGTTTTTTGTCAAAACATCCATCAACCACAGTGTGCAGTTGTTTTTCTCTTCACTCTATAAAAAAGTATTTTGTAGTAACAATATTCAGGTTTTATTTGAATTGAAAATTTGATTTTGTTCAGAGAAACTTTTGGGTTACAATCTAGCCAAAATTTTTATGGTCTGCTTCAAACTCGGCACATATCTTTTTCTTTATTTTCAAACAAATCGAACATTTACATTATTTACATCATTCAGACTTGTTGGCATCTTTCTTGCCATATTCATGACATTTCAGCCATTGTATTTCTTCAGGTGATATTCGTTGTAGGAGATCAGAGCATACAACAGCTGAAACCTGAATATGGCAGTAATGATGAGCACAATAGTTCAGATGATGTAAACTGCTACAATATTTCATCTCAGAAATAGACAGAAATCAAGTGTGTGTGGGGGGGGATTAATTTGAAATAAATTTGTTTTTAAATCCTTAATTGTTACTTTCTTTTAGGTGCTCTGACTCCAATGCCTGCTGTGAAAATGTTCTCCCTTTATGCAGGAATGGCGGTATTCTGCAACTTTTTTCTACAAATTACTTGCTTTGTAGGTCTCATGACAATGGATGCCAAACGACAAGAGGTGAGTGTCCCACCATATCCTATTAGTTTTTATCCAAGAGTCTTGGAAGTTGCATTTGAAAAGGAAAAAAAAAAAATCACTTTATTTTTCCCCCACTACCTTCTTGTCCCCCTTTCTTCCTCATTTGCGAAAAATTTTCTTTAAGTATAAAGTGCATGTTAACATGGCAGTTATTGGTTTGACTAATTATGAAAGCCATTTTGAATTCAAGTTGATGTTGCTTCTATCACGCTTACATTGTTAGTAAAAAGATTAGGGATGAGACACTTGATAGAGAAGAAAGTTGGTTAATGAATTTGTGAATACACTTTTCTCCCATCACTACTTTGCCCAAATAGTAGAAGCAAAAACTTGCTCCTGCCCATGAAGCAAATTTTAACAGGGGGTCAATAAAGTCCCAATCCAAATTCTAAAAACTAAGCTACAATTTCACATGTAAGTTTGATTAATTTTTTATTTTTTTTTATTTTTTTTTTATAAAAACTGCTTAAAAAGGAATTTTGGAGACTTGATAGGTTATGAAGATTAGCAATTCTGTATGGACTTTTTGCTGCTGTCCTGTATTCAAATCAGATTGCAAAAACAGATTTCTAAATAGATGAAGTTATTTATGAAATTATGAAACAAATGCAAAAAATGAAAATAGCTAAATTCTCATTCAGTATATTTAAATTTACACTTAGGTTAAAACATTTTGTTGAAATTACTAATTACAAAAATATTTTCCTGATAACTACATAAATCTTTAATTAAATTGCTTTTTGAGCTTTTTCAAAATAATTCAGATTTGATTCGTAATATAAAAAACACCTAAGTTCACTTACATATTACAATGAAGACATTGGCTTGTATTTAACAATATTTTTTACTATTCTATTTTTGTTAATCTGTTCTTTCAGAAAAATCGATTTGACATTTGTTGTTGCATCAAACTGAAAGACAAGAATGAAGAAACTCATGAAGGCTGCTTGTTCTCTCTCGTCAAAAACTATTATGCTCGATTTATCACCAAGAACTGGGTTCGCCCTATTGTGGTATGTATACTAGTATTGTGATTGTTGCTTTTGTAACAGCAAGACTCTTGCACCTCAACCATTAACAACTTATGAAATAAGTTTTACTTAGACAGTTTTTTTAACTTTAATGAAGCCAAGGAATTAATTGTCACTGGCTTGTCATGGATATAATCATCAAAGTCTCTTCAAGTGTAAGTTTAAGTCTGAGTTAATTGAATTCAAAGATTATTTTCATTACTAGTTAACTGTCAAATCAAATGGTGAAATCAAAAACCATTGAAACCTTGGAAGACAAATAACTTTTCAGCACTCTATGGCAAGATAAATTTTCACCACAATAGCGGATATTTTTGGCATAACTTTTACAGATATGTGAAACTTCTCAAATTCAAGGCACTGAGTTTTGGTTGATTGATTTTTTGATTTTTTTTTTTTTTTTTTTTTTTTATTTTTTTTTATTACATTTATTAATCTTCTATGGGACTGCAATCATGTTGAGAAATTGTAAGTTTGGCTTTTCTCCAGATTTGGCTAATAGTCTAATTCACTTGCCTCTATTGGCACCACAGTCATAGGCACTCCTTGATGTTTGCAGCAAAGATTGAGAAAACTAAATGAAATTAATTCCTACAAGTGGAATATAAGAAAAGGCTACATGTAAAATAATTAATTTCTCAAAACTGCAGGTCCATTTAAAAAATGCTCCTAATCTGAAAGTTTCATTCCTAGATCTTTTATAGAGACAATAACAGAAAATGAAATTTATAACTTTAATCTCTACCCTTCTAAACTAGAATATATTAAGGGATTTGGATCAAGAGGGATGGGAAAGTCAGGGGTAAGAAAACTAACTGTAAGGTGATAATGTGTGTGTGCATGCACACACTCACACACACAAAGGCAAAAAAGTTAGTTTTTGATGGTTACAGTCATTTTGAGGTCAAAAGGGGTTCAGCATTTAAAGTTGAATAGTTTTTGGGAAAGGGTGACATAGACTTGATCCCAGATGCTATTCAGTCTGAGCCTGTATGCAACATGTAGGGGAAGGTTGTTCTATCTCATGCTGAATTTTCTAGTCATCGAAGAGTGATAAAATCAGTAGTCTTATGCTGATTGACAGACCTGCAGTGATCTTGTCAGTTTTGTGATAAGATTTGCAGGCCTGACACCAAGCTGAAGGGTAACATGAGAAAAATATCTTTTGTGTGTCGCATGTAAAAAGATATGTAGGAATGAAGGGTGTGGTTTGCAAACTCATCTGTTGGGTTCATAGCCTCTCAGTTCAACGTAGAGGAGACTGCCTTCTGTAAATAAGCTGTGGTGGAGGTTGAAGGCAAATGGATTAAAACAAAAGAATGACATAAGCCTTTTCGCTGTATGCAAAAAGATTTTTTGGTAATGGATTATCTTAGTTGCTAACACCCATGGAACAATTCTGCAGATATGTTTATTTTTTTACCATGAAACTTTTTTACTCTTTCAGATTGTTATATTTGCCTTTTGGTTCTGTTTATCTGGTGCCTTGATGATGCATGTGGATATTGGTCTTGATCAAAGTCTCTCTATGCCTCAGGTAAGGGATTTTTGCAGTGTAACAAGTTTAGTTGCCAGCAATATATAAAAGCTCAAACACAATACAGAAAAACAGGTTCATCTATAGGTATAGGTTTTTTTTTTTTTTTTTTTTTTTACTGATTTAGACTCTATCCTGAAATGCAACACTTGCTGCTTGTTGAAATGTAATTTCTCTCTTGCTTACAATTTTCCCCATATTTGAAGCTTCCAACTAAAGTGCTCATCAGCTGATATGTTTACCAAAAAACTGGTTTATGTTGTCCAATGTTTGATAACAATGAAAACATTAGTAAAAATCTGCCTTGACAGTATCTTAATTCATATATAAAACTAATTCTCTAAATATACTCTGGGTAGCAGTCTGCCTTTTAATAACTTGAGAATTTGTATTTTGTCTTTGTAAACTCTTGTTTTAAAAAAAAAAAAAAAAAAGATTGAAATCTCTTCAACAAAAATATTCTGTACACTATTAGTTTTAATTCAAATATTTTGGATCTCATTTTTTCTTATACTCAGTAATTTTTTTCTTTTTCACATCTTGTCCATTCTTCACTTTTAACTAATTTTGTACAACAATTAACAGTATTAGTAATTTGTCTTGAATTTTTTTTATCTTAATGTTTAAAATGCTTTTATGCAGCACTCTATGTACATAATGTACAAAGATATTTTTAAAATTGATTCACATTTGTAGAATTTGTAATGTATACTGTTAACTAAGGCAAATATTCTAACATTATTACTTTCAACAAAGCTTCATGTTTTAAAGCTTTTTCTGTGAAATATTGATATTTCAGAAGAGTAATATATAACCCATATCTTTTAATCTTTCAGGATTCCTATGTGTTGCAGTATTTCCATAATTTATCTGAATATTTATCAGTTGGGCCTCCTGTTTACTTTGTTGTTGAAGATGGCCACAATTATTCGACATTAAAAGGCCAGAATGAAGTGTGTGGCACTAGTGGATGCAAACCGGACTCTTTAGAAGGACAAATTTTTATGGCATCATTGCAAAAGAACTAGTGAGTTAAATCTCTTTAACTATGCTATGCTTTTTCTAAATTCCTCTTCCATTCAATAAGTTGTCCATGACACATTACTTATTTGGTTCTTCCACTAGTAAATATATAATAACTGCATCAAATTAATGAAGATAAAGCTACATGCAATGAATTTCTTTTTTAATAGCAATTCACTTTTGGAAATTTTGTGAATTTAAAGGATTAATGATGGCCAAATGTCTAATGAACTTTATAGATATTTATTAAAGTCAGCCAAACCTGGTACAAGGCCATCTTATTGAGCTATCGCTCAATAAAAATGGCTTATTGGACCAATTTTTTGCCATTACACTGTGATACACAAATCATCTTGTAAAACTCTGAAGTTGAAACATGTAAGCATAATCTCATAATAGAAATATTTTGAAATAAGTTTCTTCAGAATCACCTTACCTGAATTGCAATGAATATTGATTTTACTATATTTACTCTTTTTACTTGTAGTTCTCGTATTGCCAAGAATCCTTCTTCATGGATTGATGACTATTTGGATTGGATCACACCTGCTTCTAAGAAATCATGTTGTCGTTACTACAAATCCACTGGCAAGTTCTGTAATTCTACAGGTAAGAAATATAGGATTTATTGAATAGAATTTTCACATTTTTCCTTCATTAATCAATCATTTTTTCTTTCATTAATCAATCGATCAATAATTGACAGTTCATGTAGCATAAGGCTTGCATTTTGTTAAGAAAAAAAAAAGAGCGTCTCAAATTGCAAGAATGTCATCAAACACTTGTAGAAAAATTATTTTAATAAAGGCACTTGTGATTTTTTTTTTTTTTTTTTTTTTTTTTTTGAAAAATATTTAAAACTTTAAGGAATGTTAACTTTCTCATTCTATTGTCATTTTAGTAAGGGATCCAGATTGTGTACCATGTCAAGTAAAAATGAACTTTGGACGTCCAGATGCCAATTCATTCATGAAGTTTTTGCCATGGTTCCTTGAGGACAATCCATCTGTTGATTGTTCAAAAGGGTAAGTGGAATTGTTATTCTTTGTTTTATTTGCAATGCTGCTAGCACAATTGAATGGATAGCAACTCCAAATGAAAAATCAGAAAACAAAGTTCAAATTCTATTTGGGTCCATTACATTCACTTATGCACAACTGATTTAAATTTAAGAGATTAGTCTTTAGATTTTGGCCTCTCTCTCCCTCTCTTGAAGGTATCCCCCAATCCAGACTGTAAAAAGATTTATTTGGGAGTTGGAGGGGTTCCGCATGTGTTATCTAAAGCTTTGCAAAAAAGCAACAAAAAAATTTTCTTACTCTACTGAAACAAAAAAAAAAAAAAAAGGAAAGGAAGTATTTCTGGTTACATAAATGTTGACATACTAGAGAATCTGTAGCCAGCAGCAGATTTTGATATTAGCCAAATAAATTTTAGTAATATCCAAAATGTTTCTTGACACTTTTAATGTCAGAAATTTATGGTAAATGCTTCTCCAGGACATGAAATCACATGTTCTTGAAACTAGATTTGTGTGGGCTTTATATAATATCTGTACTCAGATATTTTTATTTTATTCAATTAAATCTTTTTTTTTTTTTTTTTTTCTTTCTTTTATTTCAGTGGTCATCCAGCCTATGGTGATGCAGTAAATCTCCTAACAGAAGATAATGTGACTCGCATTGCAGGTAATTATTTTGAAATTACACCTTAAGACCCACTATGGCATGTATATTATGATGTACCACCCTCATTCGTTTTATATTCCATTGGCGGGATTTAAGTTTCACTCAGTTTCTTCCTGCAAACCAGCAGTTTGTGGAACAGACTATCAAGTGCATGCTTAACTCCCAATGAACACTACAATCTTAATGTGTTCAAGTCTAGGATCAACTGTTGTCTTTTCATATCACCATAAACTGTGCCTCTTACTCTGTAACCCTCTATCGACTCTTGGGCCTTATACAGCATTTTTAAGAGATTAATAAAATGCAGGTAAAAGATATTCATACAAACCAACACAAATTCTTCCATTATAGTTGTGAAGAAAAAAGCTTTGATTATTTAGTGTGGACACACAATTTGAGTAAACTAGATATTTTTTTAATTAGTAAATTTTTCTGCCAGTGCTCTTTTTTTTTTTTTTTTTTTTTTTTTTTTTAATGAATTTTCTGTTTGTTCCAGTTAGAATTCCTTTTGTTCTAGTTGTAAACTGAAGTTACCACACACACACATATATATATATATATATATATATCTCCAAATGTAATGAGAACAAAAAAAAGAATATAAATTCAAACGTTCACAGCATTAATTTAAAAGAGGTCTCAGTACCAAGAGTAGAGCAATAATTATTTATTATAAATTGTTACATACAGGCAAAAACAACTTATTCACTACAAAGATGCATTTTTGTTTTGATGTGGAAGCATCTCAACAGGTGAGGAACAAAGATGGTTATGAACGATTCTATTTAAAAATGCCACCTATGGAATATCACTTTCCTTTTCTCATTATTCAAATTGATTTTGGAGAAACACCATAAAAAGAAAACATAAAAGGGGTTTTCATAAAAGGAAAAGAAAAGGGGGGGGATAAAACCAGTAAAAGCAAAGAGATCAAATTTTCTTCATATTTTTCACTCACCTTTTTTCCTTTTATTTTCTTACTCCCCTTCACTTTGCTTTTACTGGTTTTATTATTGTTACTATTTCTTTTCCGTTTATGTAAACTCTTTTATGTTTTCTTTTTATCTCATCTGTTGAGATGCTTTTGCATCAAAACAAAAATGCATTTTTGTCGTGAGTAATTGTTTTGTCTATGTAACAATTTAGGATTAATTTATATATATATATATATATATATATATATATATTTATATATATTTAAATGAAAATTTACAAAAGACGTTTTTGTGTCTGCAAACTGAGTTGTTTGTTTTTTGTTTAATCATTTCACTCCATGCAAGGCAACCGTCATTAACATGCATGGAGTCACTGAGTGTGAAAGAATAAGGATAAACATTATTAAGAAGTGAGAAAATAAAGATAGAAGATAATGATTGACATTGCATTTAAATTTTTGAAGATCAAAGTTAATTGGAAACCAAGAAGCCAGAAGAATATTCAGCAAGTGAGAAAAGAAAAACTGTTAGCATCAAATTTAGTCACATCTTGCCATTTTGCAGATTCTTTGGATTTTATCAATTAAGCTTTAAATTTTAACATAAGTTAAGTTATTTATTTTCCTGTTTTAAAAGAATTTGGAAAGCTAATTTTTTTTTTTTTTTTTTTTTCATTCAGCTTCTTACTTTATGACTTACCATACTGTGTTGAAGACATCCTCTGATTATATTGAAGCATATAAACATGCACGAGAAATTGCTGCCAATATCACCAAATCAATGGATACAAAAGGGCAGTACAAGGTGTTTCCCTACAGGTAAAATGTTCACATTTGATGATTTATATATAATTTATATCCATTTTTCTGTAAATTCAATTAATGCAGTAGTCCTTTTAAAGTAATAATTTTTAGCATTCTCTTTTTTTTTTTTTTTTTTTTTTTAACATGGCTTTTGCCAACTTCCAATGCCTTTCAAATAAATACAACTGATGGTAACATTGTAGTAACACTTTATACACTCTTTAAAAAAAAAAAAGTATTTAAAAGCAATTGATGTTTGTTTCCCTTAAATTTATGTAGGATTATTTTCCTAGTTGCTGAATTTTTGCAACTGTTTCTAAATGAGATTGCAAAAAAGTTATATATGTGTGTGTGTTATTGGTCTAATTCAACTGTGACCAATAAATGTAAATATAACACCTGAATAGATTATTAAAATTTTATATTGCTGTAAATCACTATTGCACAATGGAAAACCTTGGATAAAAAACAAAAAAAAACTGGGTGACTTCAATGTACCACAAGGTTCATTTTATGGTGCTGAGGTTTCAGAATTAATGGGTCTGTATATTTTATATAAAATCAACAAAGCAGTATACATAAACAACCACAGCCTGTATAGGGATGACGGTCTGATGAGAGTGCCAGACAACAGAAGAGTAAATGACAATATAAGAAAAATGCTTTTCAAACTCTTTAAAAGCCTTGACTTTAAAATAGAGGTCAATATGAATAAGTTGTCCAATATTTGGATGTAGAATTAAATCTACAAACTGGCAGGGTGTCCCAATACATGAATGCTGCACCTATTCAACCTGTCAGTATAATAAAGCATGTACCTAAAGAGACTAGGTTATCTAAAAATTCCTCTAGTAAAATATTTTTTGAAGATGATGAAAAAGTATGGAAAGTCTTTAAAAGATGAGGGACATAAAACTAAACTGGATTTTAAACCTCAAATAAAACAGATGAAGACTAAGGAAAAGAAGAAATATCATTTGATTTAACTTTTAAATTAGAGGTCAAATGTAAAATAGGGAAAATATTTTTCAAACTAGTTAATAAGCACTTTCCCCACCCAAAGTTCTGAATTACACAAAATCTTTAATAAAAACAGTTAATTTAAGTTGCACTAGAGATTTGGAAACCACAAAGACAAAATGCCAGGAATTTCAAAACTAACATGCAGCAAGACATTGTTAACAGTGAAACATGTAACTGTAGAAATAAAAAGTAGATATCCACTCGATGGAGCTTGCAAAACTGAAGGAGTAGTTTATAAAGCAGAAGATACAAATGGCCAGACCAAATAATACATGGGATGTACTGAAAGCAGCTTCAAGAGGAGATGGTATAATCACAAGTCATCATTCAAACTAGAAAGAATTCTACAAGACTAGCCAGCCATGTGTGAAAATTAAAAGAAAAAAAAAAATAAAGATCCAATTGTAAACTGCAAAATATGAAAAAAAAAAAAAAAAAAAGAAGCCAAACAACCATAGTGACATTTGTAGGAAGAAAAGTTAATAATATTTGCAGGCCAGAAAAACCTTTTTGAATAGGAGATCAGAAATAATGACACAATGCATACATAAAGTTCTTTTGAGTTTGTATGAACCAGGATGAGAGTTTGTACATTTCCTGTAACCTTGCTCTGATAAAATTTCAATACATTTGCTTTTCTCTTCCTCTTCTATTATACTTTGTGTTGTATGTTTATTTTTAAATAAAGTGTTAGGAAATTATTTAGCCCAAATCACTTGAAGATACCAAAAGGTTGAAACCAAGGTAGCATGATCAGCTGATCTCCTAATTTTTTAAAATATATATAAAGTAAGTATACTTGTCCAGAAAAACCTTTTTTTTTTTTTTTTCCACATGGTCATGTTTTTATGTTGTAGGCTATTTATATTCTGTTCTAATGTTACCTCTTTGTCTAGCGTACCCTAACAATCCACGTAGGTGAAACCTAGGTAGGTTTGCCTGGCTCTTTAGGTTCATAGGTAGATATAGATATACAAAAAATGTTATCAATCTCAACTAGCAGGGTATTCAATTCTCTTGAGCTCACACTTTTGTGCCAAACTAAACCAAAACTTCAACATAAATAACAGGCTCTGTAGAATATTTGTGTAAGTGATAAATTTAAATTGCTAGATCATGGCTGAAAGAAAGCCAATTAGGTCGGAGTTGAACATTCATATTGTCTAAGTAAAAGGGGCATAACTAGTATGTACTGGCAATAAACAGCTTCTATGTTGATCCAGAAAGAATGAATTCTCCTCTGTAAAAAGAGATGTTAAGATCTCTGGATTTCTTCCAGAATTTATCATCAGTGAACATCACCATAACAACACACATCATGCACATGATACTAGACAGATTTAGAAGGAAAATTGCAACAACTATTACATGAGGTAATTGAAGAGAACTATTCTAAAAGTCTGATCATTAAGAGAAACCTAGCTATCAGCAAAAAGGACCACCACAAAGGCGTGAGTTGTCTACTGGTGTTGTAAGATTAAAGCATGCCTGGAAGGAAGATATATTTTGTAGATAGTATAGTAAGAGACAATGAAAATTGTGACACAGAACTTCAAAGGCACATAGCTAAAGATGCTTTTTTGTTAAGTTATTAAAGGATTGACGAATATCCTTAGAAATTAGTTGAAAACTTTTTTTTTTTTTTTTTTTTTTTTTTTATGGCAGTGAATGCTGGACAAATTCCTCACAAATGAAGGGACTTGAAGCAATAAACTTGATTCTACTGAAGAATGTTGATAATTCAATGGACAGTTTAGGGATGCTAGAAAAACGGTTACTAACAAGAGACACATAATGAAGATGGATGGCAGAATAAGTACTGCAAAGATAGAAGGGATATTAGGAAGTTGTGGAAAACCATGATTTCATAATGTGTAACCCCTGCTTAGCTGTCAAATAAGCAAACTGTTGGATGATAGCTATTTTCGTAATTTTTGCTATCTTTGATAATACAAAAAAAAAAATGTCATTGAGAATCTATGATGACCCAATCTAGCACAAATTTAACATGGGCTAGGTATTGACTCCTTTCGACAAGTGTGTCCTACTGTGAGCTCTAAATTGAAAACTTGAACAAATTTTGTCATTAATGGGGCCTGCTACTTGGAAGGTTGAGGAAACACCCCGTTTCTGTGCTGCTCTCTTATCTTCCACCTTTTGCACCCTGTCAGTTTGCAAATTGGTTCACACTAGCATCGGTTGAACTATGCTGGTTATTCCTATGTGTTGCAGACATGATATTTTCCAATGTTAATAGACATCCAAGTTTTTTCTACTTGCTTCTCAAACCTTGATGATTGATTTGAAATAAATGCTGAATCTTGAAGACCTTATAGCAACAATAAGTGTTCTCAGTAGATTACTTATTGTTTCTTTATTCTCTAAACTAACTAAACATTTTTCACATCACAATTTCGAATTAAAATGTCTTGCTTCCCTAAACCAATGTTGTCATTGTATTCAAGTATTTCATTTAAATATAACTAATGTTATCATTAAGTTTAGTTATTTTACATGAGGCTGGATTAACACATTCATAGCTCAGGTGAAGCCAAGAATTTCAAATGCTGATTATTTTTTTTTTATTATTCATTTTTATATATATATATATATATATATATAGGCTGCCAGACTTTTCAAGAGATTTCTGCTACACAATTACTAAGTACAGACAGAATTTTGATCAGAAAATTTCACCATGATTTTTGTGTGGTTCATATTGACAACAAAATTTACAATGAAATTAAGGTCATTAACAATGAAAGATTGAAAAATAAATGTTTATAAAATATTATTCAGCCACTTTTACTAAACTGCAGATTTGAGATAGATATGTGTGTAAAGTTTTTATTAACTTTTTTTATGTTAAAGTCATTGATTATAAATAAAATCCTCTCTTCTTTTGCAGTATATTCTATGTGTTTTACGAGCAATACCTCACCATTGTTCATGACTCGATTGTCAACATTGGCATTTGTTTAGCAGCCATCTTTTTGATGACTTTCATCCTTCTGGGATTTGACATCCATTCGGCAATCCTTGTTGTCTTTACAATTATGATGATTTTGGTGGACCTCCTAGGAATGATGTATATGTGGGATATTTCATTTAATGCTCTCTCACTTGTCAACCTTGTTATGGTAAGTCTGAATACCTTTTCCTGTTTATAACTTGGACTTTACTATTGGGTTGGCCAACCCAATATATTTAGCAACAAAAATGATTAAAAAGTTACTTTAATATTTACTTATTTATTTTTAGTTTTTAATACTTAGTTTGTTTATATGAATGAATATTGAATGAACTCAATCTGTATATGATTTTTGTACATCAATTTTTGAACAATTCAAACTAGAATTTGAATCCAATGGTTAGTATGTCATTTTGACTTGTGTGACATCTTTAATAATTTTTCAATAAGTTATTGAAAAATGTCCTTAGAAATTGTGTGGAACTTGATTTTGATAATTCAATTTTTTTATTCACTTGAGATTTACCTGGAATTGGAATGAAAGCAGTGATGGCAACTACCCTGAATCCATCATAAAAATACAGTATGGGGAATTAGTAAATACTAAACACTTCAGATACCTGTGTATGGATCAACTATAACAAATATAGTAGAAAAAGAAATTGAACATAGAATAAGTTGTGCTAGATGTAGTTTTCACCTTACACTGCAAATTCCTATGAAACCAAAACAACAACCTGGAAACTCCAAGTTATGTTCTTCCAAACATTTTCAGAAATATCTAAATTGTTAGCTGTATACAACCACTTCCTAAGATCAATGGTTAAAAAAGTCTGAGCAAGTAAAACTTGAAGGTCTTGGTAAAGATCATCCTTGTTTGAACCTTGTGGACTGGTGCTACAGAATCCAAAAACAAAACCACATCACTAGAACTGTGCAAATAATCAGAAACCACATCTTGTGGACTGGTGCTACAGAATGGACTTGCCACTCTAGACCCTGTTGTTGAAGATTTCTATTACAGCCCATTTTTTTTGTTATATTTTATTTCTCTCTACTGTATCTGTTGTAATCATTAGTTGTACAAGGCCAGTAAGCTCAAACCTTTTGCCATGACTTCTGATTTAGTGCTAGCAAGACTATGGGTGGTTTCTGAACAGTTTCAAGTAACCAATTTTCCCTACAAGGCTTGGGTCAACTTGTGGCCTGGTTTTCAAGCACTTCCCCAGGCCAATAACATGAAGAATTAACCTTCCTGCCATTTTTTATATATATATATATATATATATATATATGGTTGGATAGATGTGAGTTTGTGACCCTGGGTTTCATGCTTTAGCGATTTTTGTGTGTGTGTATATATATATATATATATATATATATATAATATAGGAAATATTATTACACACATATTTTGTGTCAATTAATTTTACTGACCAACTTTTCTAAATTACAAATAATTCTTAGACAAGGAGCAAATTCTGTCAAATTATCGGAATCGTATTTCTGACAGAATTTCTTTCCTGTCTAAGAAGGATTATTTGTAAATTGGCAAAGTCGATCAGTAAAATTAACACAAAACATGTCTTTAATAATATCTTGTGCCTAAACACACACACACTAAAATTATATATATCCAGCCAACAAAAACCCTTCAAAAAGAAAATGCTTGACCAGATTGTGGAAAGTGAATTAAGGTGAAAATAAGTAGCCACTTATGTTATTGTACAATTAACACATTTCCAAAGTGTACAGATACTACATTCTGACCCTGCACATAGGATTAGGGAGCAACATTTTTCTTTGTGTGTGGTGTAAGGGTTAGGGATATAATTCTAAAGTTGTAAATTTTAGAAATCATAATTATCTAAATTTTTTTTCTTTTCCTTAGGCCATTGGTATTTCTGTTGAATTCTGCTCTCATATTGCCCGTGAGTTTGCCTTCTCTTCTGAGGGAACCAGAGTTGACCGTGCTCGATTTGCAACTGCTTACATGGGCAGTTCGGTAAGTATTTTATTTTCTCCTATTCCTGATTAGGAATCAAATAAATTCTCATGAATAATTTTTCATTTTTATCTTTATTTTTTAGCTACAAAAGTTAAAAGTGGTAACTCACTTTCTACTGCCTCAATTTTCATCCTTTATTTTTCTATAGGCTGAAAGTTTGACATTATTGCTTTTCTTTTGAGTTCCTTATGATTTTCACTCGATGCCTAATTGTAAAAAAAAAATGAGACCTTTCCTCTGATTTGCAAAATGCAGTTTATAAATTCTTTTATATGCTAAGCTATCTTTATAACTTATTCAAACTTTGCTGCCAGGTTAATGACACTTGTTACTAGTTTATATATGGAGACTATTTTAAATAATAGTTTTAATATTTTTAATGAGATCTATTAATATTCTAAGAAGTGAGTGTAGGGCCTGTAAATATTGTTTCCCTTTTATTTGATAACCAGTGTTGATTCCATTATTTTACACAAGGATCTTGAGAATTTTTCAGATAAAATAAAGGAGATTTATATTAACAACCCAAATTAAATGCTTATCCTTTTAAGTGTTAGAAAATAAGTTTTACTATTTCATTCCCTTGCTTCATTGCCATGAACATGTTGTAACCAATACAATGCTTATTGATAAAAGTGAAACATTTTCAGTTCAAAGCTAAATATAACAAGTTTCCTTTTTTTTTTTTTTTTTTTTTTTTGAATACCTTAACAAATCCTAAGAGCTCAAACATGTCCAGTGAGCTTGCTGCACACCGGGATTCCATCTTAGGTTTTTCTGCATCCCCACACCTTTGCTTAGATGGCTGTTGATCCCATGAAAGGATTCATCCACCATTTTTCACAGGTCTTTGGAAATGTGTGGATCCATTTCTCGCCTCCCCAGCTATGGGTTAAATAGTAGGACTTGTATCTGGAAAAATCATTCTCAAAAAACTTATTAATGCAATATTATTCACAATAAAAAAAACCCTTGCAATCCAAAAATACTTAAGTTTTAAGTAACCCACAAAGTGGTTGATAAACTGTAAAATACAAATCAATCCTCACCAGATAATCTCGGAAGAACCAGTTTAGTTACTGAAAACCCATCCATGCGGCTGGTAGTACTGGCTTATGTAGTAAAAGTAGCCAGACAGCATTCAATAATGTTGACTGGTTCTTCTTTTTGGCTAAATACTGTTCTTGTTCAGAGAGTGGGATTGATCCAGTGAAACATCTTTCATCATTTTATATATAAACATTGTTTGTTATTATTGCAAGACTCCATTGTGACATGTCTTATTTCCATTCTCAGCAATGAGGTCACACACAAACACTTCAGTGATTAATACTAATCATGAATCAAACAATGAACATTTCAAACCAAAATGTGGCTATTATGTCAGGCTATGGACTTAACAATTCAGCTTTACATCGTTTTCATGTAGTTAACAAAGTCAATGAGTTGTGAAAGACAAATTTGAGATAACCAATGAATGCAACACAAAAATACAGATATCAGCTTGTTAACCATAACACATCTGACCTAGTTACTTAATGTCAGTCTTGCATAGTTGAATGGCATGTGGTAACTGTTGTGCTATCAGTAATGGTACCCATTCCCCATGAAATGTCATGTGTAATATCCGAGCTGATGATTTTCATGCTGTACACCTTTTTTTTGAATCTGGTTTTATGATTTGAAGTTTTTAAAAAAGAAAAGCAGCTTTAAAGTTTTATAAATTTCTAGTTTATTCTGATTCTTCCAATCAGAATATTATCACTGATATTTCTTTCTTTTTCTCTTAGGTACTGAGTGGCATTATCACTGATATTTCTTTCTTTTTCTCTTAGGTACTGAGTGGCATTACACTGACCAAACTTGGTGGTATTGTTGTTCTTGCTTTCTCCAAGTCTCAAATTTTCCAAATCTTCTATTTCCGACTTTATTTCGGAATTGTCGTCTTTGGAGCAGCTCATGGCCTCATGTTCCTTCCTGTTTTACTGAGTTACGTTGGTGAGTTAATGTTTCTTTTTTATAATAACTCTTTCTATATAACGCATATGTTAGAATAGCCAGTGATAAATAGACCAAACTTTTAAATGTGTATAAATGCCCATATTATCTAACAACCAGGAACACCCGAAACTGTTGTCAATGGTCAATCATGTTTATACTGGAGATGTACAGTTTTATCATTTCACCCCCAAGCAAGGTGGGAGTACCACTAGTACAAAGAGTGAAAGTGAGAGAAATGACTGCGTATAAGGTGGGGGATTGAGGAAAGGATAAAAGATGAACAGGAGATGGCAGTTGATGTTGCATTTAAATTTTTGAAGATTGTATTTTTCAGAGATTTAAACAAAAAACAGTTCAGAGGTGGGAAGTGTGAGAAAAACTGTTGGAGTAGAAATAGCGGTTATATTTAACTATTTCAACAGTAAATGGTTGGGAACTAGATGCCAGTCTAGTAGCACAATGTAGTTAGGGCTTGGTGGGGGGGTACTCGTCAGTGCAGTTGTCATGAAAATATTTGTAGAAAAGACAGAGGGAAGTCACATCATGTCTGTGTGAAAGGGACTGAAGTCAGCATGCCAAATCAGGATCAATTACATTGCAGATCCTTCTCTGGATTTTGTCAAGAACCTTGATATGAACAGTAGTGTAACCAGATCAGATATGGCAACAGTATTCAATGCATGGATAAATAGTAGATTTGTAAATGTTTCGTTTTCTGGGCTTCCCTTTATACACAGAGGCAAGATAACTAGCAAAGCTGTACACATGTTTATTCCGTGATGGTCAACAGCAGAAAGAGGGTTAATACCTTTAGTGACTAAGGGAGCTAATTGCTCCTGCTTCTGGAGAGTTCTATTAAGGGGATTACTAGGTAATACACCATCTCCCTTTCTTTCTTTAAGATTAGTTGATTAGTACTACATAGGTAATATTTATAGTCCTCAGGTCAGCCTGTGTTTCTATGGAATACCTGAAATAAAGACTTTTTTTTTTTTTTTTTTTTTTTTTTTTTACAGAGGTTTAGTCTTTGTGGTGGTTTTATTGTTTTGTCTGAACGGTCTAGTGTAGTGCTTGACTTCTGATGGTCATACCGTTTTGTTTGTGATGGCAGCTGGGTGTTGTGTTGTTTTCATCTTGGTATTTGGTGAGTGTGGTGTACTGTTTGGTATTGTCTGTGAGTGGTTGCTATCAACGTCTAGTTTACTCTCTACTGGCAGGTCTGAGTAACTGTCGGTTCCTGTGTTGGACACTCTCGTTCTGATATTTCACCAGGTATGATCTTGGCTCTTTTGTGGCTTGCACAATGACACCTGGTTTCCAGTTTTGTATTTTGGTCCTGTGTGTAGGCATGCTGACAGCGGTGCATGCTGTCTTTGGTTCAGCTTGTCATGACATGCCTTTATTCGGTTTCTACTTTGATGCAAGCAGTCCCGAATATGCTCATTTCCTGGCTGCTGTTTGGAGGCAAGAGGGTCTCCTCATCAGTCGACTGTTGAGTAGTTCTGCTGGCGATTTGAGGTAACTTGATATAGGTGTTGCTCTATAAGCCATCATTGCCAGGTGACAGTCTGTTCCTGATTCTCTAGCTTTTATTAATAGCTTTTTGCATACTCCCACGGCAAATCCATTACATTGAAGATAGCAGGGCGAAAAAGTAATGTGTCCCAAAGTTATATCTTTGGGAAAAGTTGGCAAACTCCACACTGGTGTATTGGGGTCCGCTGTCACTGTAGATTATCTCCAGTATGCCTTTTTCTTCAAACTGTTGTTTCACTTGTTTTATTACTGCTGAAAATGTGGTGGAATGGAGGCATCTGACAAACACTCTTGCTTAAACTGATCAGCTGTGAGGAGGTAATGGTTGCTTTTCATAGTAAAGAGATCAGTACTTGTGTATTGCCAGGAGTCGGATGGGGTCTTGGGTTTGAGTAATGTCTGTTTGGAGGATTGGTTGGTGCTTCTCGCATGTTGGGCATTTTGTGACCATGTCATTGATGCCTCAATTGATTCCTATACAGTATACAGCCATTCTTGCTCTTGATTTTCTCAATCCCCTGGTAGGAGGTATGTAGTTGCTGTAGGATGTCATGCCTTTCAACAGCACAACATCCTGTATTCCAATTTCTTCTCGGAAACTCCAGTAGTGCAAAAGAATGTGTGAGCTGTTTCTATCTGTTGGCCATCCTGTTATCTAGATTTTTGTTAACTCATCTAGAGTTCAATCTTTCATTTCCTCTTTTACGGTCTGTAATCATGTTGGAGATATACTAAGGTGTTGATTTAGCATATGTATGTTGAGGTCAATACCCTTCACTGGCATTCCAGGTCTGGGGGATACTCTTGATAAGCAATGGGGACTGCTTTGCCTGGGAATATTCTATTGTAATCCTTTATTGTAATATCCTTCCACTTTTAGTAGCATTCCTGCTAGTCTTGGTGGTGCCTGTGCCAAATTCTTCAGTGCTATCGACTGGAGTTGTTTGTGATCGATGTTCACTGTAACTCCGTGCCCCCATATATAATGATTTTGGTGGTATTTTTTTTGGGTCCATGTCTATAGAATATTCCCCCAATAGACCCCTGTTCTATCAAATACATCAGGGAATTCTTTTAGGACATGATCCCATGTGTTGAGGTTTTGTTTGGGTGGTAGTTCTGCTGTTTGGTCTCTTCAAAACTTTCCCGGATTCTGCTATATAAAAGTTGTCTGTCTGTATTACTAGGTTGAATGTTACCAAGCCTAGTTTTCTGGACGTCTGTAACCCTATCAGCATTGGTTTGTTTGTCATCACCCCCCCCTCCGTGGAATGTGTGCACTGGTGAATGTGTCCGTGTGTCTCACTCTGAGGAGATAGGCTCCTGCTTGTTTTGTTGCAGTACTCCCAAATGTGAATAGACGTACTGCAGTCTTTTATAGTTGCACACCCTGTAGTATTTTGAATACTTCAAGTGATAGGAGGTTGCTCATGGCTCCAGTATCAATTTTGGCATTCACTTCCGCCTGTTTTGTCTTGTTTCCCACTCTGTTTTACATTTGCCTCTTTTTGCATTAGTAGGTAGCTCTCCTCTGTTGGTGTCTTTTGTTTCCACCAAATGAAAAATACATGTCATTAGTGTATTTGTCACCACTGCTGTCTTGTTGTACTGCTGTATGTACATACTGATGCCTCTTGTCTGTCTTTTGGCATCAAAGATACTTATTAGTTATCCTTGTTTCTAAAATTTTAAGCCCTTGTCCTCGTTTAAAAAAAATTTTTATTAAGTGAATATGAAGCAGATAAAAAATTAATTTAAAACCCCACTGTTACTTTGTACACACTGGCCTCCTCATCCTCCATAACAATTATGTTGCCTCTCTCTACCTCTCTCTCTCTCTCTCTACCTCTCTCTCTCTCTCTCTACCTCTCTCTCTCTCTCTCTCTCTCTCTCCTCTCTCTCTCTCTCTACCTCTCTCTCTCTCTCTCTCTCTCTCTCCTCTCTCTCTCTCTCTCTCTCTACCTCTCTCTCTCTCTCTCTCTCTCTCTCTCTCTCTCTCTCTCTCTCTCTCTCTCTCTCTCTCTCTCTCTCTCTCTCTCTCTCTATCTCTATATCTCTATATCTCTATATATCTCTATATCTCTCTATATCTCTCTATATCTCTCTATATCTCTCCTTTCCATTCCACTCCTTGTCCTGTCATCATGAGCCCATTTCGTTTTATTTCTTGAAATAGTGTTAAAAGCTTTACATGTTATTTTTACTTGTATTTATTTTCTCACATGTATTGAGCACTTTTTAATACTACTGTTTCCGGGTCTGCTTTAATTCTGACCATTCTTTTTATTTATTTTATATAGCAAATTCTCTTTCAGGCATATCTGATTGTTACAAATGTTGCCTGCTTATTTTGATTATAATCCTTTCATATTCACAAATATTTTTCCATATATTACAATTAAGAGGCAAGAAATGTATTTGTATATCTTCATCCTCTAGAACATGGTGTGGGGAATATATCCCCCATACTTTTCGAAAAGGGTAGTTACTCTGATTGCATTTGGTTTCCAATCAAACTTTCAAACCCTAATGTTAAATAATATTTCAGGTACCTTTCCCTTGATTAATGATTAATAAGAAAAACACATTGTTAAAATTGTGTTGTGATTCTCACTGGAAGATCTCAGACTTTTGACCTTGTGCTATACTTCCATGTTTATGCAACTTGTGTGTGGGGGTGAGGGAGATATGTTAAATCATGACATTTTGTTGGCTCAAACTTTAACCTTTTTCTTTTTCTTTTCTTTCTCTCTAGGCCCATCAAAACGGAATTCGTCGGCATCCTATGACTTATTCCATGAAGGCAAAACACAGAATGATACCTCCATAACCAACAGCACTTCACATGAACGATTCTAAATGCAATTTATAAATATAATGCATAAATGTATATATTAGGAGGGAAAAAGTTCAAAATAAATGAATTTTTTTTTCCCCTTCTGTCAAATTTTTTTTTCTTTTCATCCCCCCCTCTATTTCTGCTGAATGAATTTTTTTTTTTTTTTTTTTTCAACAATATTGTTTCATGTTGGAATGATCAATTTTTAAAATGTTTCCTTTATGGAGGGATTTTTTTTTTTTTCTCCATGCAAAACAATGAAGAAAACTGAAAAATAACTTCAATCCATCCCCCGACTCCTCTTGAAAACACACGTGTATGTATGTATATATATATATATATATATATATATATATATATACACACACATCAATTTCTTTCCAATTTAGAAACATCTTTTTACAACATTGATAGTATTAATATTTTTATGCGGCTGTAAAAGATAAAAATGAAAATCTTAATGCCAAAATTTTCTTATTCCAAATATTTTTCTAATCTGTTAATTATAAAACACTAAGTGATTCAGTACTAAAATTTCTTTTTCACATAAGCATTCATTTTTATGAGTTTGGTCAGAGAATAACTTTTGGGTCTGTATTTGAAAACGCCTGTTCCTTCTTTCTTTCCATATTCCCAACCTCACCACATGTCTTATACACGTTTTGAAGCAACAGTTCTAAA